CCGGGGTGACCCACCGGTGGGTCACGCTAGATTGTCTCATCTTGGCAGCGCACCGGAGTAAAAATTGGTAACAATAAATTTAATTTTTTAGTTTTTTTCCGGGAATAATAAAAGTCCATAACTACCAATTGTTTTTAACAGATGCAATTTTTATGTTGAATTGCTTCTTTGCCGTGATAAATTTCCTTACAGTGAATTGTTATTGTTGAGAATAGATTGACTCCTCCCGAATATTATCTAATATTGAAATAGTTCTTCTACCAGTATTTTCTCTCTTCCGTCCAGCTTTCAGGCCCAACACCCGGCGTAAACGTGTTTTAAGCCAACCACTTTAACACGTTCACGCCAGGAAAAGTGAAAATACGGTAGAAGAACTATTTCAATATTAGGTAATATTCGGGAGGAATTAATTTATTCTCAACAATAACAATTTTATTATTCCCTTGAAAAAAACTAAAAAATGAAATTTATTGTTACCAGTTTTTACTCCGGTGCGCTGCCAAGATGAGACAATCTAGCGTGACCCACCGGGGGGTCACCCCGGCGTGAATGTGTTAAATATTGAAAACTTTGAAGATTAAGTTGATCTCTACATTTCCGTATGACAACCACAATATTCATGACTCTTCTAAAGATTACTGAATTATAGGATTCGGAATACCTAAAGATTCTGAAGAAAGCTCAGCTTACCTGAAAGTTATATTACTTTCAAACATTATTGGTAGTGGTTTATTTTAGTTTATTTTTTACGATTTTGATAATCATTGTTGCATTATAATAACCATGTTGCATCGGAATCATCATAGAATAATAGCGTTAAAAACATTACCCAAACTGATTGACCTTTTCCTATATTTTTAAATTCATTTAATCACTATCCTATAAAAACCTCGAAAGTAGAAAAATAAAAAAATAGACTTATTCCACGGACAAAAATAGCAGCACATTTACTTTGTTTGTACGATGAAATAGATATTACTCATCATTACCAATCTTGAAGTTCTATATTACTGCGTTAAATTGTGTATTTCACTACTCCCGGACTATAAAAGATAAATGAAAATATATTTAATGCCATGAATTTAAAAATGCAATACGGAGAATGCTGATTAGAAAGCAAAACTGAGAAGAAGTTTGCAATCAGTGGGAAAGTTCCTTGATTCGGAATTACGAATCAAGCCCCTATAGCAGGGGTGGCGAACCTTTATACACCAACGTGCCATTTTCTCTTAAAAATTGCTTAGTGAGGTCATAGAGGTGCCGTCAAATAATTTTGACTTCTTGATTATTGGGAAAATAGTAATACTATATACTATCAACTCAAAACTCTTTACTTACATTGAAAAAAAAAACATTTTTCAATGTCTCAGTTTGTTATACAAGTAATTCAACTTAAAGTAACATCAGTGTGACTTCTGTTGTTGCAGATTAGATGACCAATAACTTATATTAGGTTGTAAGATGTTAGTTTAAGCAGGATTGTTGATTTTCTTTGCTCGTTATTTATTGCTAACTTATTTTTTACGGTTATTAATTGTTTTTTTAGTATTAATTTTTTATTAATAATTGTTTATTATTTTGTTTGTTTTTTGTGAATTTTAATTTAATTGTTACATATGCTTGATAGCGCAATAACATTTGTGTAATAACAATTCATAGTGTAACAACAATTGTGATCGGTGGAGTGCCCAAAATATTGTGTCGCGTGCCATAAATGGCACGCGTGCCATTGGTTCGCCATCCCTGCCCTATAGGCTCCGAAAAAGCTTAATCAGATTTAATCTTAAGAGAAGAGTGGAGAAATTTCATCCTTCTTCTTTTGTTATAAACAAATGATTTTGCGCTGAAATAAAATATTTTGAACACAATATGAATTAAAAGCTCGATTTAAATACAAGTGCTGTGTAGATTGAATTTTTTATTTTAACTTTATCCTTAAAATAAAACTTCATTTGACATACACATTTAAGAAGTAAGAATTTGATTGGAGAATTCTAAGGAGAACGGTCAAACCCGAACCAATAAGAATGGTCCGTAAGTTTCTAAAAATTTTGAGTTGAATTTCATTATTCTTTGATATTTTTTACTTTTTCTGTAGTAGATTTGTTTTTCTGACATGACAGAATTATTTAAAATATTAATGAATAAATTATTACTAAATCAAGATTAATGGCGTCACTGGGAAGTTATGCACTGAATGTTCGAAACGTCGACAGCCTAACGATTGCTTACATTTTGAAAGTTGAAGAAATTTGCAACGCTGTCTAAAATTTCAACCAATGATAACTTTGTAATGGGTTATTTTATTGTGCTCTGTGTGCAATTTTATAGGCACTAAAAAAAAGAGATGGTGGAAAAGATCTTTCATTCCCTCCATATTTGTTGACCCGCCATCTTTAAAATTTGTAAGGGCAGTAACAACATTTTCATGAACCGTGCAAGTTATCTTATGAGCCAATTACCTTGTGACTTACGACTCAGAAAAATTATACGTCAAACAAATAATCTTTATAAAAATATACTTGAATCTTATCCGAGGACTTTACTGAAAAAGCTATTGATTTTAAATTTTTTAATAAATTGCCGAAAACTTTATTTAAATAATTGATAAATTTTAGATTTTAATCCATTGGAAAACAAAAGTTTCTTTGAAATTACTTTCGGATGTTACAAATACTAAATAATTTTAAATAATCTCCTGTTTCCGATCTTATGTATTAGACAACATTTGGAATAATTTTATCTTTTAAAGAAGAACTTTAAGATTTTTTTTCCGTTTGCATACCCTTTATAAAGCGATTTCTTATGTAAAAATGTCTCTAAAGACAATGCCACGAAAGGCTAGGGTGCTATGAGAGAAAAAAACAGACAAATAAGCTCATCTTTTTATTGATCAATTTTTGACTGTTTCAGTCTAAGACAAATAAGCTCTTCCTTTTATTGGCAAAACTTTGGCTGTTTCAGTCTAATTTTTATCTATTGTATTTCTAGCAGAGATAAAGTTTCTACTTCAGACAATAATACTAGAACTCCCCATGTTTAATATTTACCTACATATGCAACACACGTTAACTAGACGAATTTTAAATCATTGCTGTTTTTATAACTTGTGGAATAATTTATGTAAATAAAATACATTAATTTTTATAATTCCGAGTTTTAGTATCTCTTTTAAGACCAAGCTTGCACAATTTTGCGAGTTAGATATTTGTCCAATATGTGTTTGATAAGCAGTAAGTTCTTCTTAAACCAAGCAAAAGACAAATACATTTGCTACCATTTTAATATTAAAATTATTCTTTCTTTTTCACCACGAATATTAAAATTTAAAATTAATAGTGTAGTACACAGGGATTACACTGGGGAACATTTTGTTTTGTTTTCTGTTTCAGGAGATTTTTAAACGATTCTTAATTATTTTCACGTCGCGGATTTCAAATCAACAATTGGTTTTACTCTACCAGCCAGAGAATTAATTTCAATAAAATATTTTTATTAACTCAATATTATTGTTATTTACTTAAATTTAATAAAATATTTCCAACCAGAAACTTTTTTAAAATTCATTCGAATGATTACTGAGTGATCCCCCTTCTCTACTACGTAGGGAGTGGTAGGAGGAAGGCAATAATGCGTTTGAGTTTATGATGCGATACGTAAAGGTCCTACGTTCTTTTTTTAAAATCTTATATGTGATTTTCAAAGCAGCATAAAAGTGCATATGTATGTATATAAACCTATGCGTTCTTTTATATATTACGATGAAAAGATGAACACAAGATGATGATGAATTAGATTAAAATATCAATAATAACCAATATATTTTTTATTAGTTACAAGATATAAATAGCACTGTTTCCGTTTCTTGGAAGGTGCAAAGTGTTTGACCTCTTGTATAGCTACCACAATGTTGCTAAACTCAATATGTTTGTAACTCAATATTTTAATATTTCATGATGTATGGGATACTAGGGGCCGCTGCGTGACCTAGTTTTATTAAATAAAGAAAGCAAGCTCTTGGAAGGTCGGTGAGAAATGTTCATTATTCAGAGTTCTAATTGTCCTAGAAAAGTTTTAATTGTGGTAGAAAATTTAAGTTAATGCGACAAGATATTTCTTATTTCAGTATACCACTTAATCGTTACGTGGTTTAGAGACTTGAATTTTAATACATATATACTTTCGTTGGAAAACAAATTTTAGTGGTGGTTACACAGAAATTAAGATTTCGACTTTTTTTTTTCGTTAACGTTTTTTAAAATTTTCAAGGCCCGCGGAAGCCCTGTTATTAAGAATAATAAGAGAAAAAATTACTCCTCCCACAATCCAGCTAAAACTGAAATGAATTTACTACCAAGTTTTTATCCTGTTCTATCTTATTTTCTGGCCTGATAGTTAGAAATATTATTTTCAAACTGATCACTAAGGCCAGAGTTGTTGGAATAGCCTTCTTTCGGACACTGTAGTTCATTAAATATAGTTTTATACCTTGCCGATGAATATTGATAAAGTCATGTGATAAAATGAACCATATTAAAATAATAATAGAGTTTTGTAGATAAGGTCTTATTACATTTTTTTTTATTTATTACATCATAAAAGTATGAAAGAAATACTCTTATGTAAGTCATACCTTACAAGAGATGAAATTAAGAATAAAAGTTACATTTTTTGAGCAAACGTCTACTCAGTTTTTCTTTCGATCCATAATTCTTTTAGAGGAGACTTAACTAAATGTATCATTCCCATGTACCTAAAAACAGATGTTTGTCACGAAAAGAGATTTAACAAAACTAATGTTGAATTAAATCGCGATGAAGAATGGCATAGAGGGGCCATTAATAAACTCCCGGATGACAGTCACAATATAATTTAAGAGTCCCTACAATCTAAGTAAGTCAAAATAAATCCACAAAAGTAAGTTACTCAAATAAAATGGAACAAAAAGGAAACTGGAGACTATCAAAAGAAAAGAACCTAGTCCATCGTCCTAGAAAACATAGTTCCAGCATCTCGATGAGTACGTGGCGAGGAATTCTGGGAAAAGACAAATGGCGGTTGATAATGGCAGAAAATAATCAGTCTCGTGCTATTCTTCTTAGATGATTCTATTTCTTGGCGGGATAAAAAAAAAAGAATTTTGCTTTCTTGGCGTCGAGGATGTCATGATGAATCGCGTTGATTTCATTTGAATCTGGTGAATGGTGGTAAAATCAAGTACACAATACACGACATCTTCTGATATTAGTCACTTTAATATACATGTTATGTACAACGGGTGATTTCAAATCTTGCTAGCGATTTATGATTTAATATAATGATCCCGGCAAATCCAAAGAATCACGTTGGAGGGCAAAAATATTTTTCATACATAGCTTTTGAAAGGAATACTATGAATAAGATATAACAAAAGGTAATAAGTTTTTTTTAGGATCCCAATCTTCTAACAAAAAAATTAACTTTCACTCTTGAAATAGCTTATAAGCATATTAACGAGTGCATATTTGTCTACTTTTGTTCGCATTTGCGAGAAGAGAAAATAACTGGTAGCAAATCTTTTTAATTTTAGCTTGTTTTCAAAAAATAAACTAAAAATTGTCGATTACTCTTGGCTTGTACACAAATGGAAAAAAAATTAAAAAGTGGTAATAATGTTAATATGAATTTTTTATATTATTATGTTTATAGCTAAGCTGATCAGGTTGTAGAGTGGTTAGTGTGCCTGACTGCGGAGCCGATGGTTGCGGGTTCGAATCTCGCTCAGGGCATGGATGCTTCTTTCTCTCTCTCTCTCTGTTCTATGTCCTTTCTTCTGTGTGATTGAGTGAATGTAACCCGCACTATAAACGGATTTGTGGTTGTATGACGTGGGCGACGCTATTCCACCGCCGTGGCTTGACCGTAGGTGCTCACTGGATAACGATAAGAGAGTAGCAATTCTGGCATTTCTGAGGCCAATGGGAAATAAACCCAACTGACCGCTATTTACAAAAAAAAAATATTTTATAACTAAAAGAGTATTTCATTTTCTTTAGGTAAATATATATATGGATTAAAAGATATCAGACATGAAAGTTTATTTCAATAGCGGAAGCTAATTCGTTAAGAAATTTTCAGCTTCTTTACAACGAAATTGGCATCGGGTTTTAATTTTTCCAGCTACGTAGGAACCCTCTTGCTATGAATTATAACCAGACAGAAACTGTCCTGCATGTATATTTCTTTCATTTTAATATCATCGTCGAACAGCCGACCAGGGCTGAAAGTCCATATATATCAAGATGGTAAAGAGTTAAAACTGGTAACAAATAAATTTCGTTTTTAACTTTTTTTATGGAATAATAAAATATCCATAGCTACCAAAAAATTTTTTACGGATACAATTTTTATACTGAATTGCTTTTTCCCCTAGAAAAATGAACAACAATGATTTGTTTATTGCAAAGAATACATTTACTCCTCCCGAAAATTATCCATTATCAGTAGAGCTATTTCACTAATGATTAGTGAAATAGCTCTACTACCAAATTTTTCTCTTCACCGTCTCGCTTTCAGGCCTGCAGCCGACCCAATTTTCAGTTCATGATTACCAATGTTCAACTCCGTAGTCTTGTAAATTGGAACGCAATCCAGAAGACAAAGAAATTCTTGGATCAAGTATTGGGAGAAATTCGCCTTCATTAAGGACTTTGGAACTAAACCTGCAATTGCGTTACATGGATAGGAAAGTCGTGAAAACCTCCTACGGTTTGGGGATTCTGACCCGTAATCGGACTATCACTGTGTATATTTTACGCCAGCAATGTGGTCGGTACGAGCCGGGTCTGGAATTCCATACCAGCCATTCCATAGTCTACCAGCCATTCCTAAGATAAGAACCCGGCTCACTTCATTGGGAATCGAACTCTCTTTCTCTTGCGCTGTTGCATATAACAAGAAAGCCATTGGTAGTCAGGATCCTGTATTTTTTCCGAAAAAAAGCTAATTGTGAAATGGTTTTACTACAAGCCTGTTTTCTTTTCCATGGTACAAACAGCCCAGTTTTCAAAAATACTAAGATTTTTATGCATTGATTTTAACTACTTACATGTCATTGTAGCTAAAATCACTGTAATTCAATTATGTTTAACTAACTTAACCCCTTGGGGACGGGTGATTCAGAAAAGCATTCGTTCAAAGTCAGAATCAAGTTNTTTTTTTTAAATCTATTTTCGTATCTACTCTCGTTGCATCAACTTTTGCCTTGCCATTTTCTTTTTAGATAACTTCTTTTTGGGTGCATCTTCTTCAGCTGAGGGCTTTGCAACTACCTGCTCTTTCTCAGTCAATATAACTTCAATGTGGGAAGGGCTGCTCATGTAAGCTGATAAAAGAAAGAAAAATTATTTTTAAAAAAATTTTATACTTCAAAATCTTAGAACTACTCATAAATTTAAGTAATAATCCAAAATAAAGAATTGCTTGGTTGTGAACAGAGGGAGGTGGGAAAGGAACTAAAATAAATATTACTAAATAAAATTTACTCGACCGTTGTCTACTTCAGAATCTTATTACCCGTTGAATTTTCTTTGGCTTCATTTTTTAGAAACAGCCAATAGATTTATAAATCATAAAATTTGCTAGTAAATTACATACTCTATACAATATATTTTTTTAAAAAACAATCTAAGCACGCCTAAAAGATTTTATACGCGGAAGAAAATTGCAAAAAATAAGATTTTTCTTAATATTTATCCTGTTGACAGAGTCACTAAAACATTTTTAGAATGCAACCGATTACTACATTTATCCTGAGATGTGTCTATCCAGATATCTTTATATATGACACTTTAATTAGAGTGACACTTTTCTTTCGACTAGCTGTACTCGAAAATGAAAATGTTTCCTGATGATTGCATTAGATCATAGATTCTCAACCTTTTTAACGTTGCCGCCCCCTTAAGGAGCAAAAAACATTTCAAAGCCCCCCTTTGTGAAAATCCAGTTATTTAGAGCATGAGGACGGAGGGAGGTGTGCTGATTTATAAGAGGCAAAATTTTTAAGCAATTTTTTTACGCTTAAATTTTTTTTTTTTTTAAATAATGTGTACATTAAGTCGATAATTTTTTCACGGCAGGTAATCGCAGTCTATTTGTTACGATCAAAATAAATACGTTTTAGGAAAAAAATACAACAAAGAAACCTATGCTTACAAATGATAATTCATTCTTAATTAGATAATTAAAAAAACACCCAAAGTATTTTTTAACGCAAAAAGTAGTATCAACGAAACATTCAAACAACTACGTTAGTGGGATGATTGTACTTAATGATTCAGAACCAATTTCTTAACGCTCGGTTCAATACTTTTAGTTAGATGAAGACGCAAATCCCCTCGTTGCACAATTTTGATTCGATTTCTCCTTTTTGTGACAAAATCCGTAATATCACTGAATCCACGTACGACAAGTTAGGAGGAAGGGAAGACAATTAAAAAAGATTTTAACGATAACCTACAGTCCAGGATAGAGACGACTGATGTCACCTTTAAGTAAAAATTCAGAGAGACGATCACCATTCAAAGTTTCATTAGTTAAAAGTTCGACCGATTCCTCGTAAATCTGAACCTCTGGTGTTTCAATAATCACAAAAGGGTTCATAACCCATAAACCCATTGAGGGATTTCCATGGAACAAAACAGCTTTAAAACTGTCAGAAAAGTCCATGTGAAAAGTATCAAGGTGTTGACAATATTCTTGTGCATCATCAGAGCGAATTTCGCCTGCTTGGCTGAACTCATTACAACCAAAATTCTGCTTCCACAAAATGAGTTTCTTTAGAAGGGCAGAAATCACTGATTTTGTAGGGATCAAATTGAACTCGTCGTCTTGAAATTGTAAATTAACACCGTTAAATTTTACAGATAAATCAGTCAAAGTCTTTCTTAAATTCTAGCAATCTGTCTCTCAGAGCAACATCTCTGTTTTCGAGGAACTCAAGCACATAGTCGAAAAGATTCCAATACCTATTGAGACAGAATCTTTTGGAAAGCCAGCTAATCTCGGTGTATAGTAGCAAGCGATTGAATTTTTCATTGTTTTTCTTACACAGATGTCTGAATAATCAATTGTATAGTGAGCGTTACTGTGAATTTTGCTCACAGCAGATATGGCATATTACAATGATTGATGCAAACGGTCGCTGAGATTTTTTCCTACTAAATACTGTCTGTGAATCACGCAGTGAACAGCTAAATTATCTGATGCATCCATTTGCAAAAGGGCGACAAACCCACCTTTGCAGGAGCCTATCAGTGGCAATGAACATATTATTCGAAAGAGGAGTGTTTTTCTCTTTAAAATAATCTTTGACAGTATTAAAAATAGATTTAACTTCAATTAAAAATAGATTAAAAATAGATATCTACAATCAAGCTTTTTGCAAAAAGCATCTCTTGAATAATTTTTCCTACCTTTACAAACCGGACCTATGCCTATAGTAAAGCCTACATTACATGGCAAGGTTGATTCATCAACTTGAAGGAAAAATTCGTTGGTTATCACAAGTTTGCATAAAGAAATTTCCACGTCTTCAACCATCTCATCATTTCGTGCCCGCACTGTATCTTTTCTTATGGAATATCTTTTAATTACATTGAATGCGGCTGGATGGTGTAAAACAGTTTCTAAAACTTCCTTGACAACCGACAGTATCAACTCAGCTGTGATGGTATGAGCTTTAACAGATTTAACAATATAAACTGCTGTTTGTAGAAAATGCAACACCATGAAGGAATCATCAGAATCAAATGAAATTCGCAGCAAATGTCAATTATAGGATATTATGCAAATTAATAAAGTTTCANCGTGGTGGCTGCACCAAATACTGATTTCGGACGCTTAATTTGTTTCTTTTGTTTTGAAAATTTCATCATTTATTTGTATCAGTACAAGTCGTTTCTGCATTAAATTTCATTTGATTCTGATGATTCTTTCATGGTGTTGCATTTTCTACAAACAGCAGTTTATTTTGATATATTATAAGAAGCTATCAAACCATCACCCCATTTATGTGATGAGGTTGCTAGTAACCCAGAGACCGAAGGTGCCTTCTGTAACATGAAAAATGACAAATCTTTATTTTGTTTGTCAGGATGAGTTTTTTGCAAATGCTTCTGCTAACCTTAAGACTTCACGATCTCATTAGATAAAACTTTATTATAAAGTAAACACATGGGGGGTTGAGAGTTCAACAGTAATTGAACAAATTCCATCCTTAAGTACGTGGCACTGTATTGATGACACTTGTTTGTTAACCGACATTGTTGGTGGCAGCAAAATACAAGAAAATCAACTATTTCTCAAAATTAATAAATAATTTATGATAAAGAACTAATTCAAGCACGTACCTGGCCAAATAAACTATAAGATCTAATCGAAACTGGGGAAAAATCTGTAAGGAAGCTAACGAAAACCATTATAAGAAACACGGGTCAAATCAAGCATTCATACTGAAAGCGCATGCACTTCAATTTCCACCAAATGACTTGAATGAGTCAAAGGCAAAAACTACTGACTCATGCGCTGAGCTGTGTTGGTTCGGATCGGAGAATAGGTGTCGTATAAGTTCGTTTTATTGCTGGTACAAATGGTGTATAGGATAATCTTTAATAAACTTACCGATGCGTTTTGACTTTGGTACTCTTTTTTCTTTAATATTAATTTTAGATTAATTTTATTTATTAAATAAATCTTTATTAATAATTTTAGTTGTAAGTTTTAAAATTAAATTTGAGTGACAAACATGCTCATCGCCCCCTACCGCCCAAAACATACCCAACGCCCCCCTACCGCCCAAAACAAGCTCACCGCCCCTCAGTATACTCTCAACGCCCCCGTTGAGAACCAATGCATTAGATGAAGAAAACAGTCACAGATTTATAATTATACTGTTAGCAAACTATTCTCACTAGCATACATATTTTTTAGGTAACATTTACACATGTTCTGAGACCATCTGTAGATTATAGTATCTTGCAAGGAAAAAAATCCCAGTACTCATGGACAAATAACAGTAATATGTTTAAAAAAAAAAAAAGGGATGTTCGTGAATGTTTGATTTTATCCCATAACAGAGAATGAGGACTTTTAACATACATAGCTGTTATGCCCACCGCTTATTGAGTGGAGGAAAACCATGAATCAACGGTCTTTGAGATTTGCAGAAGAATCAAATGCCTGAACTATTGTTCTAACAATCATAAACTAACTACCAATCTTGGGTTTCAATGGATGACTTCAAATATGATAATCAATGCAGACAATAACCTAAGTTACCATATTAAACAAATAAAATACATATTAGACAGACTCTAAAAAACTTTTGGTATATCTTGAGAACTTTCTAAGAAACTCGAAAATTTTCTGCAAGCAATTATAAAATTCGTTTATCCAAAGATAGTTCCATGCAAAAGAATAACTTTTAATAAATATTTTTTTGATTACTTAATAACAGCTGAAAAAATTTTGAATTTATCATCCCCGTTGCAGAATTTTATCGGGCTTTCTGGGACACACCTCTCTCGCATAATTATCTTTCTACAAGATACTTTTAATAAAACCAAAATTTTTTACTTCAAATGTGAATAGAAAAATCACAAGTGTTTTTACCCCCCACCAAAAAACGAGGAAGAAGCATCTTTTGAATATAATTCTGGTGGAGAAAAAAATCTTTCAAAATTTTTTGCAGAACTAAAACTATATATATATTTTTTTACTTTATTATTCTTTAATTTCTCATTATTCTTAAATGAGAATAGAAAACCAAGAGAATTTCTCTTTCATCCGATGAGCGGGAAGGCATGTTTTGAATATACCTGCAAAAAAGAAATCTTCCAATAATTTCTGCAGAAAATAATAACAAGGTAAAAAACCAAAGGAAAGACCTCTCTGCAGCGATTCTGCCACTAGGTTTATCATGAGGTACACAATATTTTGCATCATTTTAAAAACAGTTTTACATGGCAAAATACAACATTTGAGCAAAACTGGTCGAATAGTTCTGGAGAAAAATTAGAATTAACATTAAAGGGTCCAAACCTTGGAGCCTTGACCAAATCATTGAAACCATATTTGCCAGATGTCCTGAATTCCCACCTGAATATTTTGGGGATCAGAAATTCAAATCAGTTGGGAAAAAAAAGGTATGTTCATTCAGAGAAAGTATGTTTTGTGTCTGATTTTGTAACCTAAAATATTACAGGCACTTAAATTAGCATATTTAAGGTCATTCTCATGATCAATAGCAATTAAGGACGGTCACTTTTTTTTCCACACTGTATGATTGAAAAGTGAAATATCTCTTTTAAAGAAAAAATAAGAGCTATAAATTGGAACATTCACTTAGGAAAAGAAAAATATATATTTTCAAGTAGTTAATAGATTTTAAGTACATATTTTAAATGTTACTAAATGTCAAACTTACGATTGATTCGACCATGAGCACGATAAGTCCTCCTCCTCATCTTAGGGGCTCTGTTCACTTGAATGTGTTCAATAACAAGCCTATCTACATCTAAGCCTTTGTAGTCAGCATTGCTTTCAGCATTTCTGAGAAGTTGCAACAAGAATTCAGCACTCTTTTTAGGCCATCTACCTTGAGTTACACCAGACCAGGCCTTCACCTAAGAATTACATCACGCACTATGTTAGGAAAAGCAATGAAAATAAAAAATATATAGCTTGAAGTTATTATTTCTTTATTTACATTAAGTTACTCTTTTACACATTTATATTTCATATCAAATAAACCACCAATTTATATATATTCTGAATACTGACAAATTTGTATTGAAAATTCAAATTTTGTTATTTCTAAACTCTTTTTGTCATTTTGCTCAGCTCTCATCATTCTCAGAGATCATCATTTCACTGGGGTTACAATTATTTAAATGACTAAAAAAATTAACCTTTTAATTACGTAAACTATCTTATCTTAATTCATTTATCAACTATTTAAGTTAAAATCTTCAATTCCTCCCTGCATATCCTACTTTGTGGTCATCTTAATTTTCATTTTCATAAAGGAATCATATTGTTATGAATCACTTGCTTTACAAGAGCACCTGGAACAGATTTGTTGAGCCTGTTTCAGTGAGATTTTTAGTGATTTACAAAAGCAGGACCAATAAAAAGTAGTCAAAATTGGCATGGGGGAAAAAAACATTGGGTGCAGATGCACAACAAATTTAATCCATAACTTTCAATAAGCTGACATCTTAATTTTGACACAGTATTGATAACATTATTAACAACCTGAGAACTAATTTTTAAATACTTAATAATAGCTTGTTTTCATTACATACGTAGACAAGGATTAACTCGGCTTACGATGCTTAGTATAAGGAAGCCTGCCAGTTTAGTCCCAAAAACTTCAATAATTATTAATGCAATCACCACATGAAAACTATTTACCTGAGCTTTCCTACCAACTGTGCCATTAAATCTGCGAAATGGAACTATTTCTTTCTTAGAAATAACATTTTTTAAATAGCGCTGAGCACGACGAAGAGGCATCTTTTTGATGGCCTGGGCTGTTTCTCTTGTGTTCTGAAATAGAAAAAATTTTTTAATCAATACAATAATAAACCTATACACCACAGATTGTATTTATATTTCTTAGGCAGCCTTTGAAAACACTTTTGCTAAGTTTAAAGCAAACTTAATTTTAGTTAGCTTGTAAGTCGCCAAAAACAATTTAACATAATTTTTAATCCATCGACACAGTAACTTATACAGGGTGGTGCGTAGCCAAAATTTTCAACATAAAATAAGCACCTTTTAAGCACTCAAAAGATTTTTAAGCACTTGACATGTACGCTAATAAAAATGTTTTCCTCTTACTGTTGAAAATTCTTCATATATACACTAACAAAATGCAAAATTTATTTTCATAGACCTTATATGATCACGATAAAATAACTAGTTTCTGACATAGAACCCTTTTCTTGATAATATTAGCCACCATAAACAGAAATTACACACAATTTTAAATATATTCAATATTGAGTGGCTCATACATTTTTTAAACTAACAATTAATATAATTCTGGAAAAAATTTTATAATAAAATTCTAATTAATTTAACAATTGCTAAAGGTTATCATTTTTTAAATTTAAATACATGTTATTTGTAATAGTATATTCAACAAAACATTAACAACACTAATATTATTGATCATACCAAATTTAAAAAAATATGTAAAGAATTGAGAAAACTTTGATAAATTTATAATATTAACGAAAATTAGTGATTGACTCATAATAAATGATCAATAAAATTCGTTACTTGGTTCAGTATTTCTTTAATGAAATGATTAAATTTTTTTTTAAAAATAATATTGAAATGCAAATACAATTAGGGTTGAAGCTAAACATTTTTTTCAGAAATTAATATGTGATCCCTTCACTCATAATATTTACAGGGGTGATTGTGAGCCCAAGTCAAAATTCCGGAAAATTTCTTGAGTAAAAAAAAAAAGTTTAAATTGAAAAATTAGAAAAAAGTTTATAAAAAGATTTTTCCTTTTTCTCAACATTTCTTAGTTTACTTAAAATATATTTAAAATTTTTTACATTCCTATACCATTTACAAGAACCTATGTCGACCTGGAGAAGTAATTGAAATTTACAAATGTCTTTCTTGAGTTTTTGATTATAATGACTATTTACTGATAAAAAATTAATATTAATCTTGAATATAAGCTTATAAAGTATCTGGCACTCCCTTACAAATAAAATAAACTGTGTTTCAAAGTTCCATCTATGAAAATTTGATTTCCGAAAACTTTTGTGATCAATGATTTTTTGAAACGCCTGAAACTCCGGATCCGGAAACTTCCGGATCACAGTTAGCAAAAAATCCGGATTTTTTCCGGACCACAATCAGCCCTGTATTTAACAAATCTGAGGATTTTTTTTTTCATATTTCAATCGGTTGTTTTTTTAATCAAATCATTATGAATGAATTTTGGAATGATAAATCTGAATAACAAGATTTTTTCCTGCATTTAAAACATTGAGAGCACCTCCTCCTCTCTTCATACTTATTTAAAATCCTGCCTCTAAATATTAAGTTTTTTCATAAACAAATTAAGGCACTGAAAATTTTGAAAGTAGGTAATGATACAATAAAAGAAAGTAATAAGTAAAAAAATATAATAAAAAAGTAACTATGAAGTATAAGCAATAAAGGTGCAAAAAAAAAAATGAAATTAGTGGATGAAGCATTATGATTGACTGCCCTGAGAACCTACATGAAAATATGTACCCAGCGAATGGTCCTCATGTCAAAGATCATGTACCGATCTACAAATAGAATAGAGCAAAGTCTTTAGCTTGTCATTGACAATGGCACTTCACCAACGATGAATTTAACAAGAGGAATAAAAATTTATTTCACTATTAAAATTTGACTATGTTTAGTTAGCCCATGTTATTATCGGAAATTCAAGAGATTTTTTTGGTTTCATTTTAGAGAGCGGAAAATGAAGTCAGAAATCGAGAATATGTTGCATAATGCAGCAGAAAAGCTGCATGAGAATCCTTCACACCGAACCCAGCTCAGCATATACGCACATATTTCATCAAACATGTAAAATGATCGACGCTTTCATTCACTACAGACAAACAAAACGCCCAAATGGATTGTGGTTGCTTGAATAGGGAAAACTACGCTTTTATCATGGCAAAAATTGACACAATGAAGAAAATATATATCATTTTAGATAGAGAAAAATTTTAAAAACGCTACGCACCCTGTTATATTAGAAATTCAGGATTAAACTATGAAAACACATTGTTTGCAAGTTTACATACCTACATAAGCTAGAAATATAATAAATAAATATATTAGAAATTAAGCTTACTTTAAAGTGAACTCTGAGGTTTGAGCCACGAGCCTTGCATGCTAAAAATGAAAAATTTTACTTTAATGAACATATTGTCAACATTAATTTTATTAAACAAACATTAAGATATAATATTTGTAAAATAATTTATTTATAAAAAAATTAAGTCAGAATTATTGTTTACTGAAAGTATTTTCATTTTGCCAGAAACTAAACAAACATTACATGATTATAATGTTTGTTCAATCTGATCATAAGTATTGGCAATATAAATCATTTTAATTTCAGTTTATAAATTTAAAATAAAACAAATCTGAAACCACTTTAAATATGAAAATAAAGTTTTAAAAAATATTGATAAAAGTTAAAATTATAGGAATAACGAAACCTAACGTAGGAAAGTATACAGCTAACACTTATGTTTACAATATTTAAAATTATGAAGTTAAAATAAAATAATTCCTCAAACAAATATAACACATAATTAATGAAAATTTTGACACCCACTTAACAAGAATATCTTTCATTGACTCTACAATACAAATTAACAGTAATGAAATACATAAAACTTTATATCAACTAATTTTAAAAACAGTTAGCATGAAGTAGACATAAATACATCTAATTTAATTTAGATGAAAACAGGCTTACACTTCGTGGCATTGTCTGGTTCCATAGAATAACGCCCCATCTTATTCTAAAAGAAAAAAATATTTGAAAAATAAATAATACAATTAGAAAATACTTATACAAATAAAAAGTAGCACTAGCATGAATGCAAAATCTTAAGACTTAGAGCAAAATTATTACTTAGAGGCAACTTAACCACTATGATTCATTGGATAGGCATTAAGGTTTCAAAGTATTTAGCTTTTACTTAATAGAAAATCATTCAACTTTTGTTAAGTGAATAACTAGAAACAAAGCAAATGAACATTCCTCAGTTGTTTGGAGAGAGTGAAGCCCAATTATCCAAGGCTAACACCTTACCTGGAGATGGCTATGAATTATATCCTTAAAAAGTTTCTCATGGTCTATAGTCCTAAACTCTGCGATAAGTTTATTTTATTTACAACTGACTGAAAATCAGACATGCATGACATATCCCAAGTTTCAAACGCTTTTAGATCAATTTTATTTAGGATGTAATTAATTTTATTAGTTAAGACACAAAAGCTATCAAAATTCCTTGATTGTACTATCAGAAAAACATAAAATGAGTAACACAAGAAAGCAAGATTAAATTAAGTTTAGAAAAATGGAATAAGTGATTCGAATAAAAATATTAATCAAATGATATCATTACATTTCTGATTTACTTAGAATTGAGATATACAAAGAAAGTTGAAAATAATGTAAATTAAGATCCCTGTGGCAGAATTTTTTTGAGCTTTCTCCGGCATTACACTCTAGCATCTATATCTTTCAGCAAGATACTTTCAAAGATGTATGTTAGTAATTTAAAGTGATAAAAACACTGTTTACCCCTCAAAAATATATATAAAATTAATTTCATCGAATATGTAATTTTTTTTGCTATTCCAATATTATGGCTGATATTCTCGCATTTTGTTGGGTGAAAAACATACTGATTATTTCCTTTATCACATTTTGTAAATCATCACAAAACAAAAAAATTTAAATATCACGAAATGCGTAGCAGTAATCATTGAAGAACAAGAAAAAACAAAACAGATGGACGACAAAATCATGTGAATCTTAGTTTTCAAAAAGGGGTTACTCAAATGAGTGTTTCGTTTCAAGATTTGATTGTCCTAATAAATATTAGATTTGTGTGATTTTTCTGCCAAGTTTTTAATGGCTCTTAATGCTACTTATCCCTAAAGTTCATGCAATTCTGACAAGTATCAATATATAATGCTTCTAAAGTAAGCCTAATATAGATTGCATGACATATAGTCAATCGATATTATGGGACAAGTGGCTAAAGCAATTCACCTGTCACCAGAAAGCTCAAAACAGTATACACAACTGATGTTGAAAACAAAGCAAGATTATAACACTTGTACAGCATCATTAACAATTGACAGTATAAAACTACTTAACACTCACCTAGATCACAGATAAATATTAAATTGTTCATATGAGGATTCTCATATGATCCACAGCAGAATAATTGCCAACTCTTAAAGGCTCCTACGTAGCAGTTCACCCCTTAAAACACTGTCTTATAATTCATATTCAACTATTGTTTACTTAAATAACAATTGCACAGTGGTAAAATAACCTATGTTTAGAGGTTTGATTCTAATTACAATTACAAATAGTTTAATAAGGATTATCCTCAAGTGATTTAATTTTACAAATTTCTCTGTTTTAGGGGAGGTATTATAATTTTTTCTCTCTCCAAAAATAGCTTAAAAAAAAGAACCTTTAAGTGATTATTTTCATGTAATTTGCAATTTAGGTTATAGAAAAAAGCTTTTAAGTTGTCTATTAATTAATACATTTATTTGAAGTTCACTTTTAGGAAAAAAATTTGTGCAGAGATAGAATTTTAGCATACTCAGATATTGGGTAAGAATTACACTCTTGACATACACAAAAAACAGTGTAAGACGGTATTAGTAATAGAAGGAAATAAATATTTCAAATTGAGTCAAAATCATCGCAACCGAGCTAGCTCTGCATGCTATGTAAAATTTTATATTAATTCCATGCTTATATTTAGATTACAAATGAAATTAGTTTACATAAAACTTGTAAGTTCAATGACTAGGTTTAATGTGTTCTATGAGAAAATTTAACTGAAAAATTTAACAATCGAGATCTCCAATGCACATACCTTTAACCAATCTACAGCAGTACAATAAATAATTCTATTATAACAGTCGACAACAGGTTTATGTAACTTTTAAATTGTTTGATTCTAACTAGGATGTTGAGCAATTTCCAAACATATAAAATAGTACTAATAAATTATATATAACAGAAACCTCTCAAATACCATACAACAGAATAAAACATTCTTTTTCTTAAATTTTCAGGAAGAACATGCATCAAAACATAGTTATGACAAAGTTAAACAATCTTACGGAAATATGAAGTAAGAATATTTTCTAGAAAAATAACAATATACGTGTACCAGAAACTTAATACAATATATAAGAGGAAATAATAATAGTTATAATACCTTATTCTTACCGATTAACTTAGATTTTTATTAGTATATAAATACGTACCTTGTTTTAGTATAACTACTCCGCTGCGCGAGATACTATGTTGCCATTAAAAATTAAAAGTAAATAAAGTTATAGACACTAAGCATGTTGCCAGATTCTACAATTTTTAATCATTTTCTTTTCAAAGTTCATTTTATTTATTAACTAATGAATAACATTTAGCACATATAAGTATAACATTTAGCATCCTAATATAATTAAATATCTTCTGTTGACTACATTTTAAATAACAAAAAAAAAAATATTTGCATCAGTGAAATTTAGCCTTAAATTTTAAATCAATCTATCAATAGCCTTTTCTGTCTTATCAAGCAACCATCAAGCGATCAATGAAATTTCAAGTGTTTGACGTTTGGGCTAGTTATTAATAGTCATTTCTGGATAATTTAATTTTAATTTAAATCATAAAAACAAGCGATTCATTTAAAGGAAACGATATTCATTTGATTAAACTTCGTGGATTTCTATCTAACAATGGCTTCTGTTGATGTCGAAAGAGCACCCAATGTAAGTATCTTATCATTGGGTGTGTTTATGATTAATGACTAATTCCTTTGTAAATTGTTTCTTATTGAAAAATAAAAAGATGTTATTCATTTTTATTGCGACTAAAAGCTTCAGCAAGTCAAAAGTTTAGCAAGATATTTAAAAATGCAAGATATTTAAATACTTTTTTTAACGGTTATGTGTAGCACCTGAATTATAATTTTAAAGATATATTAATTTCAAGTAATTTTTCCACCAAATCTCACAAATTAATTTCATTTGCCCCACTCGTATTATTTTTAAAACTATTTAAGCAAGTACATAACGCTGAAGAGCTATTACAAAAATGTTGGGTATTTTTTGTTTTTTTCATTCTCCTAACTGTAATGTTACCTGTACATTAATGAACGTCTACAATTTTTTTTAAAATGCTGAAAATCTTACACGAATCCCTCCAAAAGTTTTCTTATGTTTAATCCATTCACAAAAATTGATGTGACTAATTGCAGGAGGTTATTTAATAATGATTTATAACACACTAATATTATCAAAACGTTAGTCAGCTTTATACAATTATACATGACAGTGGAGCACTTTTAATAAAATTTTTTGTAAAATTACTTCTTAGGATTTACCAATAAATTATCTCACAATTGGAGGAGAGGGAAAGGGTTCTCAACATTATGATGAGGGATAATATGATGTGTGACATCACACATATTGGTTAAAATTACACATTTCCTTATGAATATCTACTAAGTAATTGTTAAATTTTGGTATTTCTGGGCAGTTAAATTTTGGTTTTGCAAAAAAATTAGAAAAATAGTTTCAAAGCATAATTTTACTTGTGGTTATTAATAAGTTAATCAGAAGAATGTTTTGTATGTTTTACAAAATTCTCTTGGTAATTTTAGGCACGTATGAATGATGTACTTTTCAGCAATCTACATCTATTTAAGTGTTTATCATTTTATGGCACCTTTGGATAATATCTTAATTTGTCCTATTTTTATCAATGTTTTTAAACATTTCTCAGAAAGTTAGAATTGACAAGTACTAGGCATTTTTTGAATTAATATTTTTATGAAAAAAGGTGTTTTAATTTGTATATACTCTCATTTATATTATTTTTTTCATCCATAGAATTTATGATCATCAGCTTACTTAGGACACATTTGGCTCCAGCAGGTCAAAATTAATTTTACTTACTTTCTTTCTTTGGGAAGATCAAAAGTAACACTAATTTTTTATGAAAAAAATGAAGTTATTAGTATGAGAGCAGATGGGAATTAAAACATTACTTTCATTGTCAGTTTTAAAATGTATCTTCTTGTCTGCATCATCTTTTTCCTAAAGATATATAATTTTTTTTATTTATTTTATTAAGAATAAAATTTAGATATATTCTAACATTTGTCAACTTAAATATTATCTGAATTTATGACGATATTTTTAAAAATCAAGGAAATTTGATTAGCTCATTCTTGGAAAAAGAATTTTTTTTTTATTCCCTCACTCTTTCTTTGTGACCATCTAGTAAATATTTTTCTTATTTCTGTGTAGCCTAGTTTTCTAAATTTTTTGGCCTATTTTCATGTTATGATGCACATAAAAAGAATTGGCAACTCCAGTTGAAGAATTCTTTAATAAGCTTGATATTTACGAATTTTAAGCAGGAAAACATGATTTTCACTAAAAAGCTTAGTTTGTTTTCCTTCCTCTCAATATTTCTGATTTGTGCTATTCTTATAAATTTATGCTAATAATACTACTTTAATTTTTTTGTTCATTATCTATTTTAACTGGATCAACTCTTATAATTTATTTTATCTTTTCTATCTAGTTGCAAGAGAATTTCCGTGCACTGAAGCTGCAAGGACATGTTGGATTTGATTCTCTTCCAGACCAGCTTGTAAAACGATCTGTCAATGAAGGATTCGCCTTTAATATTTTGTGCATTGGTAAGTAATAAATTAAGTTTCAAATCATTCCAAATATTTAATTTTATTTTATTTTGCTGTAATAACTTTGAACGTGGTTTTGTAGATAGCATCTTGTTTTTGTTTTATTGCAATTTGAATGAGGGTAGGCTAACATTTACAACTGAGGCAGTCATATTTATGGCTTTTCTTAAAATGTTTCTTTTTCTGAAAATTATGACACAATTTACTTCCAAACGAAGGTTGACATTTTGCCTGAAAAAAACAAACTTATTTCTTCCAAGACACTGAAATTTAGTAGAAAATACAGGAAGAGACTGGGAGAAAAATTTTTTTAACGAATCTAAGTGTAAAAAATTATTCACATATTTATGTTATTTTATGCAGAAATATTAAAATAATTTGTTGTAAAATACTAATTAAAAAATATTGCTTTGTTATAATTTTTTAAATTTTTTTATTGCAAATTACTTAAGACTAATGCTTTTTTTTTATTTTAGATATTAATTTTGTTTCAAATTGAAAAAAAACAACAATATATTTAACAATAAAATAAGAGCTAGTTTTTCTCCCTAAATTAATATTATTAGTGAATAATAAGCAATATTTTGTAAAACTACCAAAATGTTAAAGTTATATATATATGTAATACAAAAATTATAAATACTTTTGTATTAATAACAACATTAAAACTCTTTCGTTTTCATAAAATGTCTTTGGTAAAGAATAGGTGTAGAAATTCTATTTTGGGACTTCAAGGCTGAAAACATAGCATTGAATTATAATTAGATTTATATTTCAAAGGAGGAGTTATTTTTAGAATCTTGTCCCTCTTTCACTTCCATATTAGAAAGCATTAAATGATTATCGATGATGCATAGAGTTACAAAAGTCTGCAGTGACTGAGCCTTTTCACCTCCCTGTCCGTGAGTATTTAATGCGAGACCGATGGTTTTCGCATGTCTCTTGCTGATTAGATTAACATGTTCCATAAAAAATCTGCCGGAACCATCCTGAGTTTTGTCCACCAGCCTACCTTTAAATAAATCTTTTTAGAACGTATTATTTATGACTGCATTATTAAAGCTGAATACAACAGTAGCCTTGTTATTATATATANTTCTGAAAGGGGTTCCGTGGTTCGGTTGTGTTCTGTTGTTCGAAAAGGTTCTGAACAATACTGGTAAATAGGGAAGCTAGATAACGGAGCAAATGTTGAAAGTAATGAAGATCCGCAGGAAGAAAAGTGAAACGGATTTTATTCTAAATAGCGTAATTCGAAGCTTCTTCCAAAATGCGAGAAATTCGCGAATTTTGAAATTGTTTTACAGAATGTGCGAATTTCTCGCAGTAATAATTTTTTAATGCGAGAAAAGAAAAAAATATGCGAGATTCTCGCGTTCTCGCGCTGTAGTGAAAACACTGATATATATATATATTATATATATATATGAACATTTATGTTTGAAAAGATGCAAAATAGAATTAATTTGAAAATTAACATATAATTTTATGGTTAGGTATGTAATAAAAAATACAATTTGTACTAAAAATATTTATAGATAAATACCTTTAGCATTCTACGTAAGAATTGTTTTCAGTTTGCTGTTTGTCCATATGAATACAAAGTGTGATTTTCAGCTTAATATAGTAACATACTATAATTGGTATAATAATGGAAAAGACACTGTCAGTTTTTTACATTTTTTCAAATTTCTTAAGAAATACTAAGAGAATTATTTTATAATTTCAAAGTTGTCTAGGTCATTAAATTTTTGCATTCATAGCTCATTCCATAAGTAAAGAAAATATAAAAATATATTTGGTTTTAATTCGTAGTTACTGATTCTCTACAGATTAACAGTGGATTAAGTTTAGTTATCTAGGTTTAAATGCATTTACAATGATTGTTGTGGAAGAAATGAATAATGTAAAAATATCCATAACCATGACATTCTCTTCTTTTTGTTGACATCTGTTGTAAGTAGTAGTAGGTATATGAAACAAAACAGAAATTTTTTTACATTTATGTCTTCTATGTAGTACATATTTCTTTTAGCTTTCTTTGTTAGTATAGCAATTATTAAGGATTGTTTCATCTTTTTAGGAGAGACAGGCATTGGGAAATCTACTTTGATTGATTCACTGTTTAATACAACATTTGATTCAACACCAAGCCCTCACACTCTACCATCTGTTAAACTCAAAGCTAAGACTTATGGTTTGTTCATTCATTTATTTTTTATTTATTTTGACAAATTGATTAGAGGTTTTATTAATGTCATTATAACAATAAATAAAGAATCTAAATTTAAAGCATACTATAAGGATAAAGTTTTTAAATTTATGAAATCTTAATCTGAGAAAATTTAACTTGTAAAATTTATTAAAATCAAATAGTAAAAGATTGAATAGATAAGAAGCTGCCAGTTCTTTAACTTCTTAACTTGTATTAAGAAAATTATTCAATTCATAAAGTATTCCTGTTTGAATTTTGATTTTATTTATTAGTTTTTTATTGTTATTAAAAAATTGGATTTTTGCTAAACAATTGATAATTTTGCTTAACAGTATTGATAATTTTAATAATGTAATTTAAGTGATTGAAAGTAAAAACTTGATTGAAATCTTCTTTTTACAGATCTCCAGGAAAAGAATGTGAATCTCAAACTAACTGTTGTTGATACTGTTGGATATGGGGATCAAATTAACAAAGAAGACAGCTTTAAAGCTATTGTGGATTATATTGATACCCAGTTTGAAATGTATTTGCAGGAGGAACTTAAAATTAAGCGTAGTTTAGTCACATATCATGATACCAGGATTCATGCATGCTTGTATTTCATTACCCCAACTGGGCATGGGTAAGTCTTAGATGTAAACTTTAATCCTATGTTAATTTGTGATAACATACAATAAATATAATGGACCATATAATGTTAGTAAAAGTATTTATAAGTATTACTGTAGTCTGTAATTAAAATTTTATTTTGTTTGAAATATGTACATTTAAATCTTATAGACAACTAGTAGTTCTGCTGTTTATACTAATACCTTTTTGTATACTTAAACTTTTGTTAACTTGAAGTTTGTTTTCAAAGAATTTTATAATTTTATTTTCAAAATTAAAAATGGGATATAAGGGAGTTATTCATTACTTATATAAAATAAAAAAGAAAGTTTTTAAATTTGATTTATTTTGTTTAAATTTTGAATATTTGTTTACAAATTTTTCTTCTTCTTCTAACTTAGCTTGAAGTCTATTGACTTAGTCTGCATGAAGAAGTTAGACAGTAAATTAAACATCATACCAATTATTGCCAAAGCTGATACAATATCTAAAACTGAGCTACAAAGATTTAAAATAAAGGTTTGTTACATTGTTTTTTTTTTTCCTTCTTAAAACTTTTAAAAATCTATTATTAAACTCGAAAATATTTATTGATATCTTATTTTTAGATAATGTCGGAATTGGTATCCAATGGAGTGACTATATATCAGTTTCCTACTGATGATGATTCTGTTGCTGAAGTTAACTCTTCCATGAATGTAAGTATATTTTATTGTAATTATTATTTCCGTTGTCAAACAATTTGTCTAAATGTAGCAAGTCAAAGCGGGGAGCAATAAAAAAAGTAGGGTAAAAAAGTCATAGTCTCATTCGGTTTCTTGTCTCCTAGTACTGTTCGACTAAAGTAGTCTCACAAAGAGCTGCATTCTCAGTGATGTGTTCTCTTCAAATAGTGCAGTAGAGGTCTGAAAGGACACAAATTAATATTCAATGGAATCTCTGTTTAAGGGAATTCCAGGGCATTGAGGATGCATTCCAAAGTTTATAGATCTCTTTGCTGTACTTATGTTACTCAATACACACCATGTGAAAGTAGATCTATTTCACACTCCCAAGTAAACATATTTATTTCTTAATTCGTGAAAAGAGTTATCGACTTGGGCAGAAAAGTTTATCAAAACTACACAGTTTTGTCCTATTTTCTCCATAAGTCAAAATTTTCTTAACTGCATCATTAAAATTGCTTACATTTTTATTTCAATGACAAATTACCCTAAAGTTCCAAAAATAAATTCTAAAAATAAAGTCAAAATAAGGAAAACATTGTTTTTTCTTATTGAATTATTTGTTTATAGCATTAAATAATGTAATATGGCCTTTCTTTGCTGAGAAACATTTAGAGATATTTAAATTAAGGAATGTAACTAATCTAAACCCTAGAACTTTTGGAATGTTTGATAAATTGAGTTAGTTGTGTGTGTGATCAGTATTAAATAGCAAAAATTAAAATAAAAAATTAATCACACTTCCCTACATTGCTACAGGTTTCACCTGCCCATTATTTACAATTAAAGCACTGTATATAATTTTCCTGTGATTTTAACTTGTCCTAGTATGTCGTTTATCACCTTTTGTACTGCCTATATTATCTGGCAATGTCATTTAACGGAAATGAAGGCCTAGTTTATTGTAAACATTATACGAAATCTGTTTTAAATAATAGTTAATGGATTTGTTATTATCTCTAAATAACATTTTGACAATTTCCAATGAATTTCACGTGATTTCTGATAAATGGTGTATATTAACATAATAAAACAACAGTAGTTGAATCAAAAGTGCCAAATCTGGGTTTTATCTATTTACTAAATCTTGTCTTACACTCTTCTATAGTTTAAGAAAACTTATATATAAATATTGGAATGAACTATGTTTATCTGTATCAACACACACACACATGTATATATGTATAAAAGTATTCTTATGTTCTTTTCTAAGTATTTCCTTGCGTTCTTTGGCCCACATAAAAAATATTTATACATTTTGTCCGTTTCAGGCTATTTTACCCTTTGCCGTTGTGGGATCTGCTGATTTTGTTCGAGTTGGTAATAAGATGATGCGTGCTCGTCAATACCCATGGGGTACAGTAATGGGTGAGTATGAATTTTCATTAAAGTTTTTTAGAAATTGCTTCCAAATAACTAATTAACTTGACATGTTATGATTATAATGTTGACAAAATAATATTCATCATTTATAATAAATTTCTGAAAATTTAATAAGTATTAATCCAAACAGTAAAAATGAGACACATTATTCGCCAATTAATTTAATAACTTTTATTTTTGCATCTTCATTTTGAATCAGGCATGAGATTTTTTCTCGTGTCCGTGATTTTTCACATTTTTATTATTATTGATTTCTGAGTTTTCTGTTATTTTCTAAAAGAATGATCACATTGATGAAAATTTCTATCATGCATTTTTCAACTAATTTAATCAAATATAGTTTTAAATTTATCCATTAATTAAGATTAAGATCAAATGCTGGTAATTTGGATTTTTCAACATCGCTTATTAGAAGATCATTGCTAATTATTATTTGGCCTGTTGCTATAATTTATTTACTAATATTTGACCTGTTATTGTTAACCTATATTTTCTGACCTATTGATCTAGTAATGCTGTGATTCATTGATCATTTTATGAAAAAAAAAAATTTCTATAAATTATTATTATATAGCATAAAATTTGATATTTTTCATTTCATGGAGCAACATTAGTTAAAAATATTGTTTTAAGATATTTATTTAAACAGTATTATTGAAATTTGCTATTTACAAACAACGATTAAATTTTTTCTAACTTTTTTATGTATTTTTTTATTTTGAATCTCTTACTTGCAATCACAACCTTTACGATCTCTTACTTACTATATAACTTATTTTTTCTATTTCATTTCAATTCATTCAGTTAACATAAACCTAATTCATTTAGTGGAAAATGAAAGCCATTGTGACTTTGTCAAGCTCCGTGAAATGCTTATCCGAACTAACATGGAAGATATGCGTGAGCAGACACATGCAAGGCACTACGAGTTGTATCGAAGAATGAGGTTGGAACAGATGGGCTTTTCTGATGTTGGTGCTGATAACAAACCTATAAGTTTCCAGGAGACATATGAGCAAAAGCGTCTCGAACATATACAAGTATGTTATAATTTATTTCATTATTAATAATTAAGCTCAAAGCCAGGTGCTCTCAATTGATGGAATATTTTTGCTTTTGTATCTTCAATACAAAGTCTCATTTAAGACAACTGTTTACCAGAACAATTTCTTTTCCAGACACTTTTTAACAATAAAATTGACAAAACTCTTCCCTTTAAAAAAAAAAATTTTTTTTTTTACACTTGCAGTTTGTTAAAAAAAAAAAAAAAAGTATGCAGAAATGAGAATCCTCAATTTTTTCACTTCTTTATGATTTTTATCCGACTTTCAATTTTTCTTTTAAAAAAAATATATAATAACTGGATATCACGGAAACGAAATGTGGTATTTCACTACAGAGCAAAAATAATCATGTACCTTATTCGAAATTTACCTTGTATGATAATGTAGGATTAAAAAGCTATGAAAACCTGTAGCAATAACTGACAAAAGTGCGATCATAAATCCACCTGAGAGAGAGTAAATCGTCAATAATTGAGTGCTAAATGTGTTATTTAAAGTTTTCTAAACGAAAGATCATGTTAAAACATTGATATTTTAAAAACAAAGTTAATATCCATTCTAATAACTATAAAAAAAATGTTAGCAAAACCATGCAGACTCCCTGTGGAATTGTAGCTAACTGAGAAATTATTACTAACTGAAATGCTTCATTCTTAATTTGCGGTGCGTTATAATGGCATATTTAAATATCAAGACTTCAAAAACTATGTGGAAATCTAACAATAACTGTCAAAATAGTAATGGGTAAACCGCACGAATTTATACGTTATTGATTGAAATTAACATTAATTATCATCTATTTGTTATTTTTTGATGAATAAGGATGTTTTGATGTTTACTTACCTTAAAGACATATCAGGAAAAAACAAGATCTTAAAGATTTATCGCAGAAGTTCCGCAGATTCCAGATGGGGGACTTTCCGCTGTAATTTAATTTTTATCTATATGTCAGGTAAATAATTTATCTATATATAATACCAACTACCAACATTTAAAAATCAATAAAGGAATAAAATGTTGATGTAAATGTTAGCTGAACAAAAGGTATTCTTACAAAGCTTGCAATGGAATATTAATCATTGGAACTAATTTCGGAAACAAATCATTCAGGAAAATACTGCTGATTTTAGAAAATAATGCTAGCAAATTTTAAAATAAGAATTTTTATTTTATTTTATAAGAAGTCTTTTATTCATATTAAAGTATGATATAGCACTATTTTTAAAATGGGAAAAAAAATTGATTTTTGAAATTTACCGATTGAAATAGATTTAAAAAATGATACCTGTATAATCCAAATATTTTGATTATCTGAAGTACGTCCAGTAGTTCCGATAATTCAGTAATTCAGATAACCATGTCCCTACTGTTTGTTTTCTTTTACTTTAAGATTATGTTCCTAGAATTTAAAAATTTTAATAGTTTAGTGAATATATTAATATGAGGTTAATATAGCAAGTTTAGTATGATTTTGCTGCTTGAGACTTATTTAATTCCAGTAGTTTATGATTTACAATCCTAATGTGGCAACGTTTATAATTCAGAAATAATTACCGTATTTTCCTGCAGAAATGTTGCAACTTGATAAAAATAACAAAATTAAACAAGTCATCAGAAGCGCCACTATGCAGTGACACTATGCTTGTCAGCATTTTAATATGAGTGACAATTGAATAAGCTTGGGTAATATATATACATCTGTATAATATAAAAATATTTTTTATATTTATCAATAAGCAATGTTTTAATTTCTAAATGATTTAAAAAGAGTACACTCTGATGTATTTACAACTTTGTACCAAACAAGACTAAATTTTCCTTGTTAAATCCCAAATCTCATTAAATGTAAACTTATTATAAGAGAGTCTTACTATATAGATGTCAAAACTGGCACATTATGTGTTTGTGCATCCACTATTCAAAAGCAAACTCAATAGATTCCAATGTTGCTTACTTTAATATAGTTGCTAGGATAAAAACTTGAATAGTAAATAAATTTTTTAATTTTGCTATTTTAGAGATACTAGCAAATCTTCTTTGACTAAGTTGAACTATATTTTACTCATGCTCATGGTAATAATGGTGACACAAAAATGAAGTTTTCTTGAAAATCCATTGTATGACTTACACCAAATAAATATTTTATTTGATCCTATTATTTTGATCAATTATTAAAGAAAAATGTGATTAAGAGTATATTATAAATTTTCTAAAAAATTTTTAAAATCAGGAGTTGCAACGTAAAGAAGAAGAAATTCGTCAGATGTTTGTTGAAAGAGTGAAAGAAAAAGAATCTGAATTGAAAGATGCAGAAAAAGACGTAAGTACTATTTGTTTGCATAATGACTGTTTATTTTTCAGTTTTTGTTTTTTAATGTTGTAGACTTATATTGATTTTTTTGACAAGTATTTTGTAATTGAATATACCTACTTCATAAGGTTTCACACAATGTTGAATTCATATCCATTCATATATTAATAACTACTTTTTTGTATTGTATAGCAAAGATATAGTTTTTGTTATTTTTATGTATGCAATTTTTAGACAAATGCTACCATTATTCTCTATAAAAATGGTAATAACAAACCACATCAAAAAAATTTAACTCTTTCAATGGGTGGCTTTTAAATCTACTAAATATTCAAATCTATGTAAATTGCACTTCTGATAAAATGCCTAGTATTACTGATTAATGGCACCAAGCACTTTGAATAATTGTTTTTCTTTATTTACCCTATGATACTTAAATTAAAAAAATTTCAGAGATTAACTTTATATATGTATTTGCTTACCTTATCATTTCTTCAATTAACTCTATTATAGAGTAATTTATAAATGTTACAAGGGGGGGGGAGGAAGTACTGACAAGTGTGTTCCTATTTTGTTTAAAATGAAAATATTTAAAAGCAGTGGATTAAATATTTTTATACTATTTGTATTATATTGTTTTCATCTATACAGCAAAATAAGTGCATGTCTAATAACTATATTATTATGCTCATAGATATCATTATAGAACATAGTTAAATTTAAAATATTATTTATAGCATGTGTTTTTTGTCTGAATTTTCTAGCTTACGTGAAAATAATATTGAGAGACTTGTGACAAAGGGGTACTTTGTAACAAAGGAGAATATGGGATCAAAAATATAGAAAAAAGTAACATCATTTATGGATGGCTCCTTAATGTGATTTTCAATATTTTTATTGAATTAAGTCATTTTTGAGAAGACAAATTCATCAACATCCTAAAATATAGCGACAGATTTGCATAATTGTTTTTATTTTATTTTTATAATTCACTTATTTATTATGACTGTGTTGCATTTTTAAAAATCCAAAATAATAAATTTCTTGCAAATGAATAAGGCAAGAAAGATTTAAATTAAAACTGTTTAAGTATTTTATATAATATTGTGTTTTTATAATATTACACTAATTGATCATTAATTTTAGCTTTGCTAATATCTTTTTTTGTTATATTCTTATAGTATTTTAGTCCATAAAAAGTTATTTTAATGTTATTTCATAAAAATGTTAACAAATTAAGCATTTAAGAGAAATACAGTTCTAAAAGTTCACACTTCGTTTAAAATGATATAAATTAAAGCTTCATCTCAAAAGTATAATTTGAAGAAAACTGTCTACATTGTACATTGTGATGCTTTCAAAGTTATTCCCGTAGCAATTTTTTTCCTTATTGTAAGAAGAAGAAATAAGCTCTTATTTTATTTAATCTTTTATACTATAAATAAATTACAAAAGTGTTTTTTTTTTGTTTTGTTTNTTTTTTTTTTTTTTTTTTTTTTTTTTTTTTTTTTGCAGGAAAGAATTAATGCATTTTAATATTACATACTTAACGCTGAATTTTTTGAATTATTCATTGATAAAAATTTTTCAATATGTGTGGGGAAATGAATATGTAATTTTAATGCATTTCAAAATAAATTAAAATTTAAACTGGCGGTAAATGAAAAAATTTCTAATATATAATTTTAAAAAGTAAGAAATATGCTAATTCATAAACATAAAAATAATTATACTAAAAGAGTAACGAAAGACATTAGACAATATTATAATTCACAAGTATATGTTAAAAAAATAGTAAAATAACTTGCAAGTTTCAATAGTAGACTAGGGCATCATCCTCAGTGCAAAATAGGGTTCTTGCTGCTGCTCTCCCATGCTCTAAATCCTTACAAAAAAAAATTTTTTTTTTGTTAATAAAAATAAAATTGCCGAATTGCAAAAGCGGAAAAATATTTTTATTTAATTTTGTTTCCATCAAATCCCTTCTACGTTACGGGCATTTTTGTTTCGTTAATGTTTAATTTAATTTCTCTTTCTTTCCTGACATTCAAAAATTTCTAATTATTTTGGTAATTTCTGTAGCTGAAAGTTGAAATCAGATCAGTAACTGCAAGGGGAGGGGGTTGGAACTTATTTTACTAGAAATTCTTTTATCACTTGGCTAATATTTCTTTTTGCAGATAAGTAAAATTGCTAAGTTTTTCAGGAGCCAGTTAGAACATTGGTGCGAAGTGCAATACAGAAACATCTTGACAAAAACCTCACAAATGAGTAGTAAGAAATAAAGAAACATAAAACTTAAACAGCCGAAAAGAAAAGGTCAGACATAAAAGTATGTGAGACAGATATAGGATCGTCATAAAAAGAAAAATTTCTAAAAAAAAAAGGAAAACAAAACAAAAACATCTTTAAAATCTGCAAAGAAAAATACATAATTGCAGTATAGTTGTAAAGTTATAAGAAATGTTAGACATTTAGAAAAATGTCAACACACATGTATGTTATTTTAATCTAATACATTTACGATTTTTAAAGTTGGTTTTTGGTTTTGTCTATAATCTTCACCAAATTTTTATTCTTCATACTACAATAATAACTTGAAAGTAGATCAACATATATAACTTCAATACTGACTTCTAAACAAAAAAAATGAATTCAAAATTTTTTTAAATTTTTTTTATTCATAGCATATAGCATTCAAAAATAAAATAGCTATAAAGTTATTGTTCATTTTCTCCTTCTCACTAACCAGTTTATTATTTCAATTCTATTTTTCATATTTCCCATATAAAGAGCAATTTTTTATTTTAGCTGCACTCTAAATTTGATGCCTTGAAGAAAAAACATGCTGAAGAAAAGAAGAAGCTTGAAGAAGACCGAAAGCAATTGGATGACGACATAAACAATCTAAACAAAAGAAAAGCCGCCATACAGCAAGCACAAACCCAGGCTCCGTTTCAGTCCCTAACTTTGGGCAAAAGTAAAAAGAAGTAGTTTCATGCAGCCTTTCCTCCTCTGTTCTGAAAACCATGTACATCAGTGTATCTGTCATCCTGTGCTTTTTATCTCATTGTAGTCAACTACAACTGTGTTAATGTTGTTTAGCTTCAATATTTTACTTATATTTTATGCTAGATGTATGATATAACTTCATCTCCCTTAATTATCGAAATATGAATAAGGTAAACCAAAAATATTTATTGTGTTTCTTAAATGCATTCAATTTTGTGTAAGTCAATTAAATTTGTATTATTTTATATTTATTTAGTGCTCTTAAAATATAAATTAATTTTTAATTTATTTATTAAAAAAACTGACATTTTTTACAAAGCTCTGCATTTGTTACACGTACTCATCCCCCCCCCTCCTTAAAGTATTTTATTATGATTTTATTGTCTTCATTTTTTCTGTTGTAGAAGTTTTTATGATGAATGAATTAAGTTGCATCATACTAACTTGTTCCTAAGAAACTTCTAAATTTAAAATTTATTACAATTTCTTTAAAATTTGCTTGTATGAAACATGTATCAATTTATAAAAATAAATATTTGCATATTTACATATAAATATTTACACAACAATAGAGTGACTAGTAACTTGACCTTAGTTCTTGATTTTTTTTGTACTTGTGAACTTCTGTAATAAATGCATAACAGCTTTGAATTCTTTGTATATTGGCACAAAATATTTTATTTTACACAAGTAGAATAAAATTACGTGAAAACTTTTGAATTAAATAGCCTTTCCCTTTTCATTGAGATCTGATAATGTGCATGTTTAGCAATCCTATATATTTCTAAAAATTTTTACAATTATATATCTCAACACATTTTTTACCTGTACTTAAATAGCAAAAATTAAATTATTTGAAGTATATATACCTCTAATTCTGCTGTGTTATATTATGATTTATTTGTAAATATATAACAGGGAAATTTAACCATTTGTCTTTCATATTTTAAGATTTAAAATTTCTCTGAGAATTATGTTATTTAATTCTTTTATGACCTCCAATTTTTCGTATGTTTAAAAAATTTTAATGAACTTCCTTTTGTGTAGAATTGATGACTTATGATGATTATTATGAAGGCAAAATAATTTTTATTTATTAACGGAGATGAAAAAAAGTTGCTTTCTTCTTTTTCACAAGCTTTTTAGACTTTAATTACAGGAATCATGAAATAGCCTTTGCACATGGCTAATACTGTATTTTCTCTGTGCAATAGTTAGTTACACTTTAGTCATTAAAAAAATCATATGTCTGTATTTTATATTTTTCCATGCATTTATTAATAAATTAGTTTAAAAAAGAAATTTGTTTATGCTGACTTAAAACATAAATTGTAATAATTATTGTAAATTCATACTCACTTAATTAAATGTAAAATACACTTAAACATTTTGAATTATGTTTAATCGAGTTTTAAGCTAAATGATTGAACTTCATTGGTAGCAAATTTCCCCTTCATTTTTTTATGTATTGATAAAACACTAAGTGTTTTATACAGTTTAGCTAAAAAAATTATTATTGGCAAAAAAATCTGATAGAATTTGTAACTTCTTTTAATAATTCATATGTTTCCAAAAAATCAAAGTTGCATCACAAGAAATAAAGAATTTAGTAATTTTTTGACCAAATATTTTTAAAATTGTGCAATCAACGAGAGGTTTACGTAGCGATTTATTTAGTGATCGATTACATTTTTGTTTAGCTTCTGTTCCCATTACATCGCAGAAGTAAAGCAGCGGTCAGTGAGTGAGTGGGTGGCCAAGTTTATTTGCCCTCAAAGGGACCGGTGGCTTACTAGCTCTCGAAAACTTGATCTACTAATTGCCAGGCTCAGAACTAAATCTTTTCCGACTAATGCGATCTTACACAAGTGCAAACAGATAGAAAGTCCAAATTGCCCGAGCTACGGAGATGTAGACACAAACGATCACTTTCTCCTGGAATGTACCTCATTCAAGAATGCTCGTCAAGATCTCTACCAATCTATATCTCTTCAGAATCTAAAATTTATTGATATCGTGAACTTGTCTTTCAATCTTCGAACCAAACTCCAATCCCTTTACAAATTCTTCCAAGCCACAAATAATCCCGCAGTGGACTGATCGTAAAGACATGGTTCCTAGCAGAACACCGAAGTCAAGCATGCGATCAGTAAGCGGATGGTGATCACTTTGATCAGCCTGCGCAGGGACCGGTTGTGCACGATATCGGTCCTCGTTAAGCTGTTCTACCTTAAAGTGCTCGACTTCACGCACAGGTCATCGGGCTACCAAAGCAGGTGAGCCAGCTCCTCTGCAGAGGATTGAAACTGCTATAGTATATCTTCGGATTATCCTCATGGATGTTTCCCAGACCGTCACCAATAGCCCATTGTACAGCTCTAGTGTGATGTAAATAAAGTACCCAAATGTGTGATGGTACTCCCACTTATTTAAAGTCGAAATAGACTACAGGTGGCGTAAAGCAAAACTCTCTACTTATGGCAACACTTCGCAAGCTTTCACCATTAGTGTGTGGAGAGTAATTGAAGAAGGAAGTATGTTCTGCCTTGATTTTCAGATAGATTAAAATCTTTTAGGTCGGAAAACTGTATGGAACTGAAAACTACATTACCCATTGCTCTCAGAGAAAGGTTTGGTTTGGTTGGTTGTTAATTTACGTCGCACTAGAGCTGCACAATGGGCTATTGGCGACGGTCTGGGAAACATCCCTGATGATGAGCTTCTCACGAATCCTCACNACGGCGGGATTCGAACCCGCTACCTCCACGCTTAACAGAGCGTTTGGACCGGCGATACCGCTCGGCCAGGGAGGCCCCAGAGGAGGAGATGGAAAGGAGAAATGCCAAATGCATGGAAACGGTCTTCTCCCCAGATGGCGTAACCGAGCGTTGCGATCGCCGTTTCTGATTTTTTACTGCAAATTTTTGCTATCTTTTAAGCCTCAAACATTAAGGGAAATACAAAGCTATAAGCTAACGAATAGAGCTCGTAGTACTTTTCTACTATCTTCAATCTAAATAAACAAACAGCAGACGAAACTCCTGTGGGAGTGTGATGTTTTTCTTGGATATTTCTGCTACGATTGCATCAATATATATTTTTAGTCCATAAATCTAACAGTTTTTTCAATGTATTTCCTAAAAACTTTTTTATTTATTGTATTAATAAAACAACAGATACTTTTTGTATTTTCGAAGAATGTTTTATTGATAGTAGGTTTGTATCCTTAATGTGATCTCTTTTTGAATGATATTAATAACTTAAATGAAGATTTCCTTTCAAATGATTTATTGGTAGTATTTAAATCAAATATCTTAATTTTAAATTAAGTGTTAGAAAGCAATATTTGATTCTTTTCAACAATCCTAATGTAAGTAAACTGAACCATTATTTTTAATTCATGTATTAATACTAAAATAATAATAACTAAATGGCAATCCCCTTCAAAAATAATTTTTAAACAACTAGAAACAAAATAATTAGTTGAATTATTTTGTGACAAGCTAATCGCAAAATGTTATAGAAAATTCGGTTTGACTAGAAATTCCTATATTTTCCTTTCTTTATTTTTCGTTATTACTTTTGAAAATATTATGTGATTCCTATGATATTAAATTAAAGTATTACAGTGATTAAATTTTTTATGAAATTCTTCGAAAGTAAAATTCTGTAACAAAAAAAAAATGGGAATAATTTATTTTAATTGAATTATTTATTTTACAAGTAATACATTATTTAAATTTAATATTTTGTATGACACTCATATAAGATTATCAACTTTGAGGATACCATTTATAATATGTTTAATACCTTGGTTGCCATGTGAAGTTGTACCTTAATGTGTTTCTTCTATTCAGAGTAAAAAAAATCAATGTCCAAAATTTTTTTCATATTCTATGTACTCTCATAGGGAATCTTTTAATTCATAAATAATTTTCTTTCCAATAAAATTTATTAATGACTCTTTTTAGCTAAATTAAATGCATCTAGTGGGAGAGATTTTATTCTTTCAAAGGCTTTTAAATCACTGATACTGTCTGTGCAATATTTCATTCACTGAATTGTTTCAAGTGAGTTCCAGCTTGTATATAGTAATCGGGTTAATAAAGTTTTAAAAACATAATTTATCATGTTAATAAATATATCTTGATGAATGCAAATCACTCAACAAGGATTGATATGTAGCAAAAAATTAAGATGGGCATTCAAATTGCTCAAAGATAATAAAAGTGTGAGCAAATGCCAATGTCTGCTGCAGTTGAACTATCTTTTGCAAAATAAATTATTCTGATGTCTATCTACATTGTCTGGTGTGGCCAGGGGAGTATTTTTTAATTTTATTTATAGAAATATGTTTAGTATAATGGGCAACTCCATGATAAAAAGGACAACGTAACAAAAAAAAAAGCATTTAATAACATTCCTCCATTTACAAATTTTTTAGATATAGAATCAAAAATCTATTTTAGATATAGAATCAAAAATTGTAGTTTTTATGTATTTTGTAATAATAATGAAAAATAATTTTAATGTAGATTGTGAGACATAAAAATTGTTATAACAGTCACAAGAGCTTTTTCTCTATTTGCCGCTTTCTTTACGTCACTTAATATGTACTTTCAATATTTCCAGTTAATTTGAAGTTTTTTTTTTAAAAATAAATTTAAAAGAATAATTTCATTATTCCTTAGAAGGAGAATTTTAAACTAAAAATATGTTTTACACAATGCTGTCTCTATGTAACAACAATCACATTCTATGTGTTTATTTTAAATAAAACATTAATAATTTTCATCCTTTTTTCTTATATGCATTGTATAAAAACATCACATTAATCCTCAAATTAGGGTGGGCGGAATTTTTGAGTGGAACTCATTCTGTTAATAACAAATACATAATGATTTATTCTAGCTGATGATGGAGGATTTGAAACACAAGTTTATGGGAATCAAGTGTGTAAAACACCTTATTTGAATGAATTGGCATCAAAATCGGTCATATTTAAAAATGCATACACCTCTGTGAGCAGCTGCTCACCTAGTCGCTCAACTATTCTGACAGGACTCCCTCAGCATCAGAATGGGATGTATGGACTTCATCAAGGACAGCACCATTTTAATTCTTTTAATGAAGTGAAGAGTTTGCCATTTTTGCTCCAAAAGAAAAATATATTCTCAGGTATCATTTCACTCCTACATATTTATTCTAACAGCTTTTACATTTTTTTTAATTCAAATTTTTTTTTCTTTACTTTCTTTTCTCTAAACCATCACTATATTTTGTGTGGCTCTAGGTAGAACATATTGCAAGACGTTTGAAGATTTTATTTTATTTATTTATTCATTATTATTTTTTGCATTACTCCTAGGAAAATGAATGACTTAAAATCCCAAGTTTTCAAATATAATTTCATAAAATTAATATAATTTTTTTTTATTTTTTGAATTTACTTTCTAAAGACTAATACTTTAAACAATTTTGCCTCTTTAAATTTTATAACATCCTTAAATTTTTATATTGGCAACCCTTAGAAATGAGAAGATAAAAAACTGGCTCTAGCTAATTTGAATTTTGGAATATTACAGTTAGTTCCTATCAAGTTAAAATTAAAAAGTGTTAACTGTCTATAATCTGCATTGTATGTAATTATTTGTTGCAGGAAGTCTGAAAAATGTTGTGAGAAACTTTTAGGGGAAGTAAGGTCTGTCATAAGGATTCTGAATAGCATAGCAACCTATGATCAGAGTAGAAGTTCTGAAAGGACATGAAAGATTACTAAATGAAATCACTTATATTACATAATGCATACAAATAGATGACTATAGTTCATAATGTTGTAATACTTGATATCAATAAAGCATTAACTGCACGATACAATGGTACATTAAGATTTTATTTGATTGTAAAAATAGTGCTGACTAATTTTGCCACAGATTCCTCATTAACTTTGACTGAAGAAATATACAAGAGGCACAGAAGTGAGGCTCAATGACTCTGAAGAGCCTTCTTATGTAGCAGCACTGACACAGTGCTCCTAGATGTAAATTAGCATTACATTGCTTCTCTCCATAAACATAGCGCGAGGGAGGTAGATTTTTTTAGTAAACTATCCACTTATTTAAAGTTTTATATGTATCGATATATACATAAGTTAAAGAAGTGTTAGGTTTCATTGTAACAACATGGCAAACAGCAAATGCTGTAGGCCTTGTTGCTATTGGCTGGACCCTACACTATAAACTGGAACTTATAGGGCATATTATATTAGTATAATGTTAACTGATATCTAGTCACTGTTGCCAAGAGGTTTCAATCTATTTATATCAATCTGATTTCATTGCAATTTAAAAATGAAAAAAAAACAAAAAAAAACAACTAAAGATGCTAACTTATAAATGAAAAAATCCCATTGGAGCATGTAAACACTAGATCAACCACCATGTGTCTACACCATGTGTTTATGTCTAATGGTGATTATTAGAAACTAATCAGAGCAAAAGTAAATATGACAAAGGTAAATAACAGTATCTATTATATGATATTATCATCTCCTGTTGAAATTCTGAAAACAAAATGTGTTAATAAAAGATTAAAGAGAAAATTTTAAAGTTACTTTTGCACCTTAAAAACCTTTTACAAATTTCTACTAAAATATTCACTGTGTGCTTATGCAATTGCACATGGAAGAGTACACCAATGTTACCAATTTACAATATGTCGCAGAAGATATTGGATCAATAAATAAAAGCATTATTCATGAAGTCTACCTTACCTTCAGGTCCACATTAGCTCACCTCTGCCGTCTATGCATACCTATGTAAATTTATATTTAAAACTTAAAAATAGATTAAAAGCTTTCTGAAGAAAAAAAATTTGTGCCCCCTCACGCTACACTTGTGCTTCTCTCTGTATGCAATGACATTTTTGGTCATAGAATGCTATGCAATTCTCAATCTTTATGATGTGCATCATCTGATTTGCATTTTTAAGATATTCTGTATACATATAAAACAATTTAGTAAGATTTTATAGATACTGACTTATCTTTTTGTTCTAGGAATAATTGGCAAAAAACATGTTGGACCAGAATCTGTATATCCCTTTGATTTTGCTTACACAGAAGAGAACAATTCTATTAACCAAGTGGGGCGTAATATTACTCGAATTCGAAATTTAGTTAATAAATTTTTAACTGCAGCTAATTCTTCGTCAAGGTAAGAAGCTACTTGAATTGGTCTAACAGTATGATTTTATTATGTTTTTACTGTAATCACCAATGAATAGAATATCATAACGTAAATTTATCTGCACGACGAACTTTTATCAGTTTAGAAAACAATGTAAATTGAATAGTTAATAACCTATAGATTTTTCAAGTTATAGATCACCTGACAGGTGGTCAAAGGTTTCTAAAAATTAATAGATGAATAGCTATATAAAATAGTTAAAAAATAATAATTGATAAAATAATTATTTTTGATTAATAATATTATATTATCTATTAAATTTGTCAAATTTTATTGTCTAAAAAAGAAACTTGCTTATTTTATTAGCTTATATTATTTTGTTGGTATAACATTTAGTACATTATTATATTAATAATACACATTTAGTACTTATTTCTCGATTTTTCAACTCTTTTTACCTGCATAAAGTTACATTTTATTATGATTTATTAATAATCCACATACTCTTAAACATATTGATCCTTTTTTGGGCATTTTAATGACATTCTAGTGCTTTTAAATTTTTTTAAGAAAAAGGTTTGAGTTATAATTTGGATGATTTAAATAACTTTTTTTAAAAATGGTTAATTTTATTTAAAAAAAAAAAGCTTTTTTTCTGTCGAAATTATTGGCTCTCCACTTTAACTACTTTTTTAATAATGTAATAATTTATCAGATTTACAAAATTAATTTAAATACAATAATAAGGAAAAAAAAATGAAAAAGAGAGTTGTCTTGTTTAAGTAATGCTAACTTATTTATCATCATTATATATCTAAAACAGGAAAGAGACAAATTCTCATTAATTACTAAAAAAAAAAAATAATTAGTTGTTTCTTTCAGGCCATTTTTCTTATATGTTGCATTCCACGATCCTCATCGGTGTGGTCATACAAATCCAGAGTTTGGAGAATTTTGTGAAAAATTTGGTAATGGTGCTGAAGGCATGGGAGTCATTCCAGATTGGAAACCAATCCACTATAAGCCGGAAGAAGTTTTGGTACCATATTTTGTCCCTGATACTCCGGCTGCAAGGAGGGACATTGCTGCTCAGTATACTACTATAAGTAGAATGGATCAAGGTATGAAATTAAAGCCAATATCCTTTTATACAAATTGAGTTAAAGTTCAAACAATTTCACCAGTTGCATCAGTGTTTTTGTTACCCTATCAATTACATCATAACCTGTATTTTAATTGCATTTTATTTGTTTACTTATTACTCATTTGCACTACAACCCATTTGGTCTTCCTCACGACACATCTCCAAATTTTCTTATCCTTAGCTTTTTGTGACTTTCATGACTTTGAGATCTCATTCAAGTTCATCCAGTTATCCAATTCGAAGATTTGAAAGTCGTTTTCTTTTTGCAATCCTTTTAGCCATAAGATCTGCCTCGTTCAATAATGTACATTTTTTAAACCAACTTTCATGAAGTCTTAAAGTGAAATTTTACAAAAAGAAAAAAAAATCAATGACCTATTACATAGGATGGTCTCTCCTAAACAAAAATAATTTAAAATTATGACATTCCCTTGACCACAAAAAATATATATATCATTCTGGCAGGATTTCATAAAAAATAATAAAAACTAATACTTAATCATAAAATTCGTAAAAAAGGTGATTAAAGACAAGGTGAAACAGTGATGTTTCAATCTTCAACTTTAGATGTTTCCCTCGAAAAATTAGTCTTTGAACAACTTTGAAAAATTAAATAAAAATCGTAAAGCAAGGGGAAGACAAATATTGATTGCCTTGAATAAGATCTAAAAATACTTAAAATCGAGAACTGAAAAACAAGGGTGTGGTAGGCCAAGATGGAAATCTGTTTTTGAAAAGGCCATGATCCACACCAGATTGGTGTGTCATTGAAGAAGAAATTAAAGAGGAAAACTGAACAAGTAACCACTAATGAAAATATGGTTGAGCTAAATATAGAAACAAAACAAAAATTTATAAATATAATGTATAGAAGCTGAGAAATGTTTGTTACCAGCTTGAAAACATATTTTTGACATAATGGCTTTTGAATCTTGATATCATGCTCACATTATTATAAATAAATAAATAATTATAATGCTTCATTACTTTTCATTGAAATTTGGAACAATAATCTCAAATTAGTTTTCTTTCAGATTATGTTAGTACATTTAATGTAGTATAACTCAAGAAATAAAATTTAAAAAAAGAAAGATTTTTTAACCAAGTTTACTGGTAGGTAAAACTCCTTTAAGCATAAATACAATATTGAAAAGCAGTTGTTTATGTGCCATGAAGGTGAAAATTGTTTCTACAGGTATACTTTAGCATTTCTTAGTTACAATCGTGCAATTAAAATTATATGTTCACACTGAAATAAGGATCTGTACAGAGCATCTGTTATGAAATCAGATTTGTACAGGACAAGCATATTTTATGAAATATGATATATATTTTCTGTAATTTGAATCAGATATATTTAACACGTAATTAAATTAGTTTAAATGCAAGTAAAATTGATGATCAAACTATAAGCTAACTTGAATTAATGGCCATAGATTGAAACTACAATGGATGAATTTAAAAAATAATGTGTTGTTTTACGGAGGATAACTAATTTCTATTTTTTTGCAAGATTTAATCGTCATTAAGGGAGGGCGCTTTTATAGGGATCAAAGGGCAGGCAGACGGGCCATTCTTCTAAAAACGCTTATGGAGAACACTGCATTTATCTATTTCATTTATGTTTTGGTATTTGACAACAATAATAAGATTGTTTATATAGATTATACTAAATGATACATAATAATGGTTGCTGCTAAATAATTTTATGTATTTATCTATTTCATTTATGTTTAGGTATTGGATTGATACTGGATGAAATCAAGAAGTTTAATTATGAAAATGATACTTTAGTTATTTTTACTTCTGACAATGGAATACCGTTTCCTAGTGGCCGCACTAATCTTTATGATCCTGGAATGGCTGAACCATTCTTATTACACATTCCTAAGAAACCAGAATTACATAATAAAGTAAATATGGTGGTTGTTTTAAAAATATTTCTTTTTAAAATTCTTTTGAGTAGCACAATTTGTTAACAAACTTTTAACTTATTTTCAAATTTAGTGCAAGATTAAATATCTGGTTTCTAAAGTAGCATGAGCAAACCATTTTTTAAATTGATTTTTCTAATTGTTGGTCATTTTTTAGAAGCTTGGAAGTCTGAATCACCAAAAAGATTTTATTTAAAAAAATATTTATTTTGAATCTATTTACATAATTTATGGTGGGCTCTCCTATAATCCTTTTTCCTTATATTTCATATAAGATAAAAATATATAACAAATGATCCACACAATTTCTTTTACTATTTTTTTAAACTAGATTTCATAGTTGTTCAATTTTATTGGATCAAACTAAACACTTTGGGTATCAGGACTTAAAAGTTTAATAAAGTTTTTCTTATACATTGATGAATTAATTATAATGAAGGTTTGAAATTTTTTAAGAAATTTTCAAAACAAAAGTGAAAAAATGGAATAATATATTCTGTATATTTATAAAACTCATTCTTTTTGATGATTATAAATTGCTATGATTAATGTGATTTATTTTTACCTCATTCTTAACTCCAGTTTGGAGCTTAGGGGCTACATTTTTTATCTCATGGTATTAGTGGCCCAAAAGTTTCATCACTTTTGATGGTTTATTAATGATCTTTAATTCAATATTAACTGTCCTGCACCAAGTTGTTTAATGTTTTCTTCTTTCCGTGGGTATTCCAATCAAACCTCTGTTTTACTTTATTTTATCTTTATTGTTATCAATCAGGTATTAGTATGATTTAAATTTTAATTGTTATACTTATGGTACATTTTATTTTATTAGTTTATAAGAAAACAAAATGATTAAGATAGGTTTTATTTTTTAGTAGTTTAAGACCTGTTGTATCCCTATGACATATTTATGAAATAAATTTTTATCACTATTAAAAATTAGAAAGAAATATCTTACTACTATTTATATTTTAAATTTTCCATTATTTAATTTTACGAAAATTTGTTGCAATTTCTACTATTGTTAGAATTGAAATTTTTAATTGGATTAAGAAATTGGAAAGGTAATTTTAAGTCATATTTTTTTTTTTTTTTTTGAAATCCGATGCAATTTTTCTGACAGTTTTTTATGATAATTAGGAATTCAATTTGTGCAGATATTATGAAGTAGTAAATAACTAATCCTTTTTTTCTTAATCCTTATACACTTTCTTATCTTTGTTACTTTATTATACAATAAATAGGCAAGTAATTCTTCTCACACCATAGAAAATGTTTACAAAAATATATTTTATGGTTATTTATATTTTTATTTCTCACAAGTTTTTCTTTTGAGTTTTAAAACCAATAATTTGGAATGTAGTTCCTGTCATGACTATGAATTTAAAAAAAAATTTAATAAAAGTATGTTTCTTGTTTTCAGGAATCAAATTCAATGGTAAGCCTGCTAGACATTGCGCCAACAATATTAGACTGGTTCAACATAAGCTATCCAGATTACAAACTAAATAAGGCAAGTGTCAAGTTGACTGGGAAATCTCTTCTAAACTTAACACAAAATGACAAAACTGTATTTGGTAGTCACAATTTACATGAAGCAACTATGTATTACCCCATGCGAGTCATAAGAACTAAAGAATACAAACTCATACACAACTTAAACTTCAAAATGCCTTTCCCTATAGATCAAGATTTTTTTATTTCTCCAACGTTTCAAGATCTCCTCAATAAAACGTTAGATGGACTGCCAACCAACTGGTATAAAAATCTGTCTAACTATTACTATAGAGATCAATGGGAGTTATACAACTTGAAAGAAGACCCCCATGAATTGCGGAATTTGATACCATATCCTGTATATAGTGATGTGGTTAAAAAATTGATGCAAACACTATGGGATTGGTCAGTCAAGACTAATGATCCTTGGATTTGTTCACCATATGCTGTACTAGAAGATACAGGACGGTTCAAGGACAATCCCCAATGTTTGCCGCTTTATAATCATCTTGTAGATCTTGCTTAATTTATAAATTTACTACTTAATATGCAGGACTTTAAAATTACATGGACCTATAAAACCTATGTCCTAGATGCAATCTGCAACAGGATGCCAAATATCATATATTTTATTCAATTAATTGTATCTCTATTTTTAATGTATAATTTATTAAATTTTTTATAAAGATATATGAACAAATAAAGCTCTAACCTTAGATCACAATAAATATATACAAGTACAAATTTTATTTTTTAAATATGTCCTGCTCCCAAATTATTCATTGTTAGAGCTTGTAATTGTGTATACATCTATACATTGCTTTAAAAATGTGTTTATTTTTTATTGCTGAATAAACTACTTACTATACAGATTTGAAGATAATTTTTATCTAGTCATTTTAGTGTTTCCCATGAATATTCAGTATCAAATCATAGTAACAGATCGAGTGGACTGATTTAATTTAGGATTGAGATAGATCTCATAGATTAGCTGCCGTCAGTCGTGAACGGGTGACCCTTGCATAGAAACTGGCTACCAAAGTAAACCTTAATCGCCAGAAGTGGTGACCAAGTTACAGGCCCAAGAATAAAATGCGTCCAATCTTCAGATTCCAGAATAAATCAGCGTCCCATTTTGATCGTTCTTCTGGCAATTTTTTCTACGAATTTTGACATGCTTAAAATCCTGATATTTTTAATAGGACGTGCAAAAATATCATGTGGAAATCTATAACAATGCTGAAAAGCATTGTTATAGATTTCCACATGGTATTTTTAATACAATTTTATTATGGAATGTACATTTCGAATCTGGTATTTAAGCAATCATTTTTTGATTTAAATCAAATTGTTTTTTTTTTTCTTCAAAAGAATATCTTGAATCAAAAACAGTGGTGTTGGGCGTATACTAATCCAATAGTGGCTAACAGTCTTTATCAATGATTTCATGTGTATTTCCATTATCAGGATAGAATTTGATGAAAGTTATTAACAATAACTAGTACAGATAAATAACAGCAAATAAATATCAAGGTTATAAATTTCGCAAAATACTTTTTTATTAAGTTCTATCGGTTTTACAACTTTATTTTACTTTACTAGCTTTTATAACGATGCCCGGTGGCTGAATGGTAGTGCTTCGTGCACCTGTGCCACAGGTCCTGGGTTCGATTCTCGGGCCGGGCAAGGTTGACTCAGCCTTTCATCCCTTCAGTGGGTCGATAAATGGGTACCAAGCATGCTTGAAAACTAAACACTGGAAGTTCCGCGTTTGGCTGACCACCTAACTGGAACTTCTGCTCCTGCACCCCAGAGCTCAAGAAAACTGAGATGGGCCCTCTATGGGCTGTCATGCCACTGAGTTTAGATTTTATAAGAGAGTTTACTAACAACTTATATTGAAAATAGCTTCTGTTCTACTCTATGGAGATAGTGACTTTTTAAACCACTAAAACATACTTATTTATTGAAATGATTGTAAATGCGATCAGTCGTAAACACTAAAATTTTAGACCGATAAACATGTATATTTTTTATTGTTGTGACAAAATATGTGTATAAAGAACAAGTTTCAGAATAATTTGCTTGTGATTCTTTTATTGTAACTTTCTGTAATCTGTATATATATGTGTTCAATTGTTCTGATGTGTTGTATGCTTGAGACTGATTAATTGTTCTGATGTAAAACTTTAGTTTAAATAGAATAAATTATTTTGTATACAAGAATGTGCTTGTCTACTTTTACATATAAATTGTTAAGTTTTTTAAAATATGAACAAGGAACTTGACTGTTTTTTTTCTCATACAGTAATTTGAATAAATTTACTTTTCAACCACTTTCTTTCATATGTAGAAGAATAATGCCTTATTGCTAATCCTTTGCATTTATTCAAATTATTTGTTATTTACCAAATCAAAACAAAATATGAAAGCATTTTTAATAAAGCATGCCTAATATTGGTATTAGACAAAATGGAATATTCTATTCAAATTCTAACTCTGCTTACAATTTTTAACTTATCAAAATTGAGTACCAAAGTATTCCAGCTTGAGCTATAATTATCATTTATTAGTGACCGTTTGGAAGCATTCTTCACCCATTTTGACTTAGTGTGATGAGTGTACGGAATTCTTCTGAATTGAAAAAGAACTGTTTCCACATCAAGCAAACATTTTTTATTCTTTTCAAAAAATCCAGTAGCAGCTACAGGATAAAAAAAAATATTCATTTTGATAAAAGATTTTTAAAAAATTATTATAAAGTCACTTTTTTTAATGGAGCTTTTTTTTTTTGCGATTGCTGAAACTAACAACTGATGAAAAAAAATTGGGCTTTTAATCGGTTAATGATGATAGAAAGACAATACTTGTGCATGCACACACACTGTACTACCGTAATTAGTATCCATTATCTCCAACCATAACCGTCAGGACATTAGTTAAGTCTGAATCACATCACACAATTAGAAAAGTGGAATCTGATCTGACAGTTAGTCCTTAACACTGGTAAAAAACCAAAGCCCCAGCAGGCAAAAACTGAAACCACCATACCAATGGATGGAGCTAATATGCACCTAGTACACAAAAACAAAAATTTCTGCAGTGTATATCTCGATATTCTAATTTTAGCAGCATATTATGTTTAATTATATACCATCAAAATTTCACCATCAAAAATTTAAAATAGACATCTAGTTATTCTTAATTTTTGATGTTATATTAATAGAATAAAATAAATAATATAGCCATCTGGTTCTTATTAAACTATTATACTTAAAAATATAAACATATTACATTCGCACTATGGATGGAGGATTTTATTTTATTTATCTTATTTTTTAAAAAAATCTCAATTTTTTTGAAAGTTAAGATTTTGCAATTATTTTGAGCAATATTTATCATATTTTATACCAGAATATTTTAAAATTAACTCATTTTGCTTCAACAAACTGAATAGTTTTGCCAACTGAATTTTTGTAGCAAATAGTATGTACAAAGCCTGTTTTAAAAATGCATAGTGAAAATAACTAGATTTAGTTTGAATTTTGAATAATTAGTAAGTTTAATCTATTCTGAATGATCACATCATTCTGATTTAAGCAAATTTCTTCCAGTACCTTCTGAAAGCTAAATGTGTTAAAATGATACACAGCTTATAGGGTTTTCAATTAATCTGATCTTTGAAAATATTGCCCGATTAGTTGCATAAATAAAAAATTTTATTTGAGATTTTTTTGGTAACCATTGGCAAGATTCAGCATAAATGTTTAGTGTTGGAAAGTTTCTAATTTTTAAGAATAATTTAATTGTTTAAATGCATTTTTATTGGTAAATTATAATATATATATATATATATGAATAATTATATATATATATATTATAAAAGAATGTGGCCCTATTTTTGCATTATATAATAGTTTGAAATTATAATGCAAAAATTAACTGTTCATACCAGTCTCTTGTCTTCAGGGTTTTGAACTTCCTTTCTCACTCTTTGGTTCAAAGTTAGGAATGTTCTGTCACATAATCTAGTACGGAAGTGCCACAACTAGAGATTACTCCACCCATAAATCAGACTGGAAATATTACAAGAAACTCAATCTTGTAACAGTGTGGAAAGAGAAAACAATTTCCTCTTTGGAAGAGAGAATAATTTTTGTTCATTTTCTAAACGCTGAATCTGGAGAACTAAAATAATTGGAGATCATCATCACCTCCCTACCATGGCTAAGCACCCTCCATTTTTAAGACTCAATCTTTTAATGGTCATGGTAGGAATGCCACGTAATTTTGATCCAGGTCAAACGACATGAACAGCGCCTGAGCTGGTACTCCTCTTTCCGAGCTTCCACACCATAACCATCATGAGGATTTTAAGCGAGGTCAAATTTCATGTGCACCTTGCTGTGTATACAGGCTCGTCGTTTCGGCTACCACGATCGAATTCACAACCCCCGGTCTCAAATAAATAGTTGGACAAAGTGATAAACAATAAATATCTGCCTATTTTCTTAAAAAAAAAAACTTTATTTCATATGTTGTGGATGAATCTAAAATTATGTGAATAACAATGATGATGTTAATATTAAATGCTACAATTATTATACAGTACTAAAATTAATAAGTTTCATAAGAAATATAAAACTTATGAAAATAAGCTAGAACATAACTTTTTAAACAAACCTATAATCAAGTATAGGTGCAGTGGGCATTGTATCTACATTTTATTGATGCAGAGAACCACAGAAAGAACATCACACATAAAATCACAGTCAAAGAAAACAGGCGAATTTAAAATTAAACACCATTACAGATGTTTATATTAACTAGATTAAGATATTTTTCATTAAGTAATGCCAGACTTATAATGACTAGAAACAGTTTCATACTTGTATTAATTAAACTTTACATTTTTTTAAAACAAGTATCAGAATTAAAAGTGAACAATTCTAATTTTGTCAATTTCACAACATAATTACAATAATTGTACTTTCTCTATCATTGTTTACAGACATTTAAAAAAAAAACTTGGAAGTTGTAACATTCATTAGAAATTTAAAAACATGAAATTTTTACAATCAATTAAAATATAATTAAACCAAATTTACAACACAAGTACAATAATTGTACTTTCTCACTTGGAAAAATTAAATTTGTGATAAAAAAACTAGATATTGGAACACAGAAAAATACTTTGAATACAAACATATAAGTACATTTAATTTTTCATGTTATAAATTTAAAAATATTTCAATAAAAGATTTAACTTTGAGTTCTGCCTTCTTTTTTTTTTTAAGTAAACATATTTTTTAATTTGATAAATAAATTTAATCTGTTGTTTTAAGCATACCATATCTTAATTTTACAGCAGCAATTTAAAGCTCACCAATGAAATTCCATAGAATGAAATGCACAAACACATAAAAGATAAATGAGTTAAATTTAAAATCAGATTAGTTTATACATTTATTTCAAATTGCAATCAGGAAAATTAGTATTTTTACACAGTTAAACAACTAGAAACAACCCTTAACAAACAACTAGAATAATAATTTTTTTTTTATCATATCACATAAAACTATTTTCAAAATAAATAAATAGGCATAAAGGGTAACTTCATCCGTAAAATGTTCATTCACACCCGGCAAGTCTTGAGATAGGGTGCCTATTTCTGAGAGCTTTTATATTTCCATCTTTATATTTTTGTAGGGAATGAAGGTTTTAAATACCAAGTATATTTTTCGCTTCGGTTTCTTCAGATTATTCATTTAATTCAGATAAGTATTTTATAAAAAATATCTAATTAGCTAAATTCCCTTTAAAAGTTATCCAAGATCTTTTCTCAAAACTCAGCTTTAAATAAAGAAATAGGTTAGCAATTTTTAAAAGGTCTCATTTATGTATGAACAATGAGAAATTAATTTAAAATTGTATTAATAAATATTGATTATATAAACTTTGATCATTACAGCTTATTTCGCAACCAAAAAATTTTAGATTAAAATATAAGAGGTATATTCATTCCTTTAAACTGCTAGAGAGAATTCAGTTAATTACTATTTCTTCAATTTTAGTAAATTAATCATTTGTTATTTCAATTTCAACTTGAAGCCAGAATAGAGTCAATTAGAGTTCTTAACTGATTCAAATTTGATGCAATGATGGATAAAAAAATAAAAAAAATGCTAGATAATACAGCAATTGAGTGCAATTGTACAAAACATGTTACAATCATGGTTCAGTAGTTATACTATCATAAGTCAAAAAGTTTATACTAGCCTGGGTATTAGAGATGGCTACTATCTTTTGTAACAGTTATTTTATATTCACAAAAATAACATGTTACTTTTAAAGATCTATTACAAATTGCTTCAAAAGTGTGATATAATCGATTGTACTGTGAAAAGCTTATTTTTTTCAGCATATTGCTTTATGTTTCAACTGTTCTTTATTGATGTTTGAACAGTTATAAGAAAAATAAACAAAATAAGAAAGCAAATCTCATTTTATTAATAGTTTATGTCATAAAGAAAGATTGACTCTCAGCTATTATGAAGCATAACGAGTACTGGTTAACTAATGAAAGCACCGTTAGATGATCACGTGGAATTGAATATGTTTCATTCAATATAAAACAAAAATGGTGGATCGGTTTCTCCCGTTAGTTAGAGAGGATAAAGTATTTGCGATAGCTGATACTTTTATAATGAGATGTTACAAGGCAAAAAGTCAGTTATTTTGTAACAGATACTTACAACATACACGATTTCACATTGTAATAGCTGTAACATGTTATTCAAAAACAACTGTTACATCTCCTTTCTATTGAGTATAAAGTTAGGCTACTAGTGATAGTTAAGTCTTTTCTATTAATAAGTTATCTAAAAATATTAGTGTATATTATTTTATTTTTCTATAAACTATTAAAAAATTATTGACTTCAAATTACCAGGTAGTGGTTAGTTAAGTTTGATTAAGGTTGAACAATGAGCTAAAGACAAATAAATATTGGCAATATTGTAAGAGTCATCCCTTTCTGATGATTTGGAAATCATGCTAGTATAAAAGGCACATTGTGACACAATTTTGAATCAAGATTATGAATATATCCCGGGTATTAACACTATGATTCAATTCATCAGTAGTTTATCATTTGAGCAAACATAAATAAATTTAAAACCACAATTAGGAAAATACATCGAACAAAACAATGATAACTTCCTCGA